TCTCGAGTCCTTTGCCCAAGCACGAGAGGAGCGCGATCGGCCGCCAGGACCCGGGCTTGGAGGCATCCCTGCCGGCCTTCTGGATCATGACCACCTCAGCTCTGCGGAAAGGCAGAGGAAAGTGGCCGGCCCGCATACAGGACTGGAATAGCTGCCTGACCGGCTCCGAGATGACGCCCCAGCAGGCCTGGAGGAGGCGCGTGGTGATCCCGTCCACACCAGGGGTCGTTGTCTTTGTTAAGGTGGCCGTCTTCACTTCTTCTCCGCTAACATTGTCCTGCCAAGTAATCGCTCGCCTTGGGACGACGGGTACGTCAAACGGATTACCCGGTGCGTCATCTTCCGCACTAAACCTGTCGAGAAGGGCTTCCCGAAGCGCTTGGGCCTTTTCGTCAGTATCCTCGATCGTCTGGTTGTCCACAACCAATGGGGGTGCTCTGGTCAGTGGGCTCGCCTTCCGCCAACCCATGATCTGGTACAGGTCCCGGTCTGAAGCGACTCCATCGATCTTTCCGGCCCAGTATGCTCGCTTAGCCTTCCTCACCGTGCTCAGGAACGCCTTTCGTTTCTCCATTAGATAAAGGTGCGCATCTTGCTCCGTCTCCCAGGCTTGTTGGTTGCGGGCAGCACGGTATGCTCTGTGGGCCTCTGCGCATTCCTCCGTCCACCAAGCCGCGCCTTTACCATGTTTTCCTCTCTTCTTGCCGACCGCCTCAATGGCTCGGGAGAAGAGCTCGACGATGTGACTTGCCTGCCCGTCCAGGTCTTCCGGAGTAGGTTGATCCCCCAGATTGGGCATCGCAGCTAGCCCCCCTTCGATCAGGTCTCTCAGCCGAGGCAGCGCCGAGTCGGGCACTGACAGTGGCCGTGGCTGCGGGTGGCCCTCTCCCTGTGACACTGGGCGTTTGAATAGTGGTATGACGGCCACGATGGCCTCGTGGTCAGCTCCCGGGTGTAGCTGTGGGCTGACCTGCGCGTGCGCAAAAGGGATATTAGAGAAAGCCAGGTCCAGGACATGTCCGCAATCCTGGGTTGCCACCCCAACTTCGCTGATAAGAGAGAGATTGTGGCCGTCTGCCCAGCCTGCAATGTCATCTCCCCGGTTCCCGTTCCTCGTCCCGGGCTCCCAAGAGTAGTGATGCGCGTTGAAGTCACCCGCGATCAAAGCTCGCTCCGGGGGTTTGAGTTCTAGCAGTATCCCTGTTGTGCGGCTGTGGGGGTCGCGGGGTTGTCTGTACACGTTGACGATAGTCGTCGTTTTGTCGACCACCAGCCACAGTACGTCTCTCGTGTGGACAGGCCTCTGCTGCTCCACCGTCATCCCTATCCCTTTGCGTGTGTAGGTCAATACTCTTGGTCTGGTTCCTTCGCTGTCCCAGAAGTCGACCGGGACGAAAGAGTCGAAACCCGGGTGCGTGTTCAGTTGCACGTTTCCGTCCTTCCAGCCCGTCCAGGGTTCCTGGACGAGGACCACATCTATCTGAGCCTCCCAGCAGAGCTGCAGGAAAGCCGTGTGCGCCGGGGAGATCTTTCCGACGTTGCCCTGCGCAACGCGTAGCATCCGTGGGGTCGCCGCTCTCGGCTTACGTCTCCGAGTCGAGTTCGAGGTGGGTGTAGGCATTCGCGACGTTGTAGTTTGGCTTCTGTGCTGCCCGTTGGCTCCTGCTTGGCATGGGTAGCACGGGACGGTCGATGGAGGTGTTGTCGGGGGAGTCTTCGCCTTCGCCTTCGTCCGCCTCGTCTTCATCCATGCTGCTGCTGTCAGTGCTTCCGTCACCGAGGCAAACGATCGAGCTTGCGGAGGGCGTTCTCGTGCGCGCGCGCTTGGCGCCGGGTTGCTGGTTCTGGCTGGTGGAGGTAGGGACGCCTGCCGCCTCCTGGCTACTGTCGGATCGAGTAGCCTTGTACAGAGTGTCCGATGCTTTCTGGCCGGCCTTCCGGATCCGAGCCCGCTCCTTTCGACCGGGAAGGGAGACGACGCCGTTTACGACCGAGGGCCTCGCTGGGCAGTCTGTGTGGCCGGCTTGGAAGGGGCCGCAGCAGTTGGGACACTGGGGCCTGGCCATGCAAGGTCCCGTTTCGTGTGAGTCGGAAGGTCTTCCGCAGTTGCTGCAAGTCGGTCGTCGTCCGCAGAACCGGTTGGCGTGGTAGCCCTGGCAGCCGGGGTCATGTCGGATGAGCGTCCTTCGTTTTTTGATGGGCAGAGATCTGCCGCTTTGGTTGAAGAGCCTGAAGGGCGTGACCTCTGATGTGAATGATATGAGCCAAGATATTTCGTTCGTGACTGGGTTGGGCCCAAGGCGGGACGGTCGAGCAAGGACAGGCTTCTGTCCTGTCTGTGCGAAGACCTCATCTTCAACGAGTGTGGCTGGGTCCAGGACGTCCCCGCCAATGCTGTGTAGTTTTGTTGGGCATCGCGGCACAACGTATGTGTGCCACTTGATAGGCGTCTCGACTTGGTGGGCGCCGAGGCATTCCGCCAGCTTTGCCTTACTTGTAAGTAGTCTTTCCTGTATTTGCTTGTTTCGCGGCTTCAGAGAGTAACCTGTGCTGATATGGTAGACGTGGGGAAGGTCCGCTAGCCCCAGGCCAACGGCCTTACAGACGATCTGTCGTACGGCGAACGGTGCGATCTTCCGAGCGGCCGCTAAGCTTTCTTCCGGGACGCGGGCAAAGATGCGGAGGTCCTCCTTCGGCTGCGCCTGCGGCTGATCCTCGGCGGGGAGTGTGGCCTTCGGGCGGGCAGAGCTCTGGCAGCTCTGGCCGCTCCGGGTCGCCGCAGTGGTGTTGCCCGCCATCGGTGCGACGACAGCCGCCCAACTCCGGGCCGCTATTGGGCTTGTCTCGTGATTGATCAGTCTCTTGAGGGTTTGAATGACATAGGCAGTGGCTTCTTTCGCGATCTGCTTTCTAGAACCGTCAAAGCTGGCGACAACGCTGTCGACGGACCGTGCAATGGTCAGAAAGACGTCTTTCCGTGCCTCGTACTGTCTAGCTTCTTCTGCAAGGGCTGTCAAGACGGACCCTGTGGCAGATCCGCTCGGAGCAGATGCGGTAGAGGCTGCGGGCCCCTCGGCCGAGGTAGGGGCGTCGGTGGTGGCATCAAGCTGGCTTCCCGTTAGGCTGGGCCGGGTCGGCTGTGCCTCGGCGTCGCGGCGTCGCTTAGCTCTTGAGGTGGGGTTCGGCTCCGGAGGTGTCCCGGAGCCTGGTTCGGGGTCGGCTTGGTCGGCCGACATCAGTCCGGTGCCCGACGGCGGCTGTGAGGCCATCGCGGATGCGGGCTCCGGCAAGGGGAGGTGAAGAGTTTTCGGCTGTTAGTAATTTGGTGGTAGGCTCACTCATTCACTAACAGCAGATGCCAAGAAAAATTAGGCGAGAGGGAAGTTGACCTTCAGCCATACTCATCTGGGCATGTCACGAGGATCTTGGATATCATTGGCCAGCTCGGACCTGTTCAGTCTAGGGTCCTAGAACCCAGTTTGCTCGAAGAAACTCCATGGTTTGTATGTTATGAACCATAACGATCGATCTGCAACGGCCATTGGGTTTAATGACAGCCTCGATAGAGCTTGGAACAATCCACGTGTTCAATAGCGAGACCATGACGCTTACAAGATGGGCAAATGCTTGCCCAAAAGCTCTCTGTCATACCTTACGAGGAGACACCACTCGAGTCTGAACATGCGATCAAACGCCCCGCAAACCCCATGGTAGTAAGGACTAAGGATCCGTTCGGACTATGCGAAGCACGGGCAGCGACTGACTCACCTAACCATGCACGATGAGATGATCTATCAAGACTTCCTAAAATAAGGTTATGAGCTTTCTGATACACGAGTCAAAGATGATCAAGTCCTGAGACTCCGAACGCGTCGAAGACTTCCTTTGGCATGCTCTCAGGGGTTTTGGACCTGTCAATGAATCCGTGTCTTGCTGTAGGTCAAGATGGGCGTAAAGTCTCAATACTGGACGTTCGATATATCCAGACTTTTAGACGCACACGGAACGTTACTGCGTATTTCTTGGAGGAGTGTGCAGGGCTTGGTACGTTCTGTTCGCCTCATCGACGCGTGTTTACTCGGCGGGCAAGCTCCCATCAAGGGTAGTGAACACTTCAGTAGCTGCCACGTGGGAAAAGAGTTTTGGGCAAAAGTCTGTTCTGTCACCGTGTCACGATATCCTGTAAACGACACGAAAAGGCCCGCGCTTCCCATGGATCGAGTCATTCCCGAATCTGGACCGAGCCGGGCAACCAAACTGCCTGTGCCTTTGCGGAGCTGAACGCGCCGCTCTATGTCCCGTGGCACTCTATCGTCTCTTTATGCCCTGGCCACAAACCTTGTCCGAGTCCACGACAGCGTAGCTCGCGTGGGCAGTAATTTGGGCTCGCAATTCTTCAGCTGGCAGACAGTCTGACTCGGTGCAGCGAGCTTGACGATGACCATCCTCCGTTTTGAGTTTGGCTTCGCACCGACAACTGCATCGCCCAAATGTCTCATCCGCATGCGCCGCCTCCCCAGCAGGCCTGGGTTGCCCCGATCCACATAGCTTCTCGTTTCGCTCGATCTAGACTGCAACCGGCTGTAGCGACAATTAGTGGCCTCATAAAGAGGGTGGAGCCCCCATCCTTCAAACACGCGCAATGATCTCGTAATCATGGCTGGGCGTTGGTTCTGGACTTTTTTCCATCACGTTCATGATCACGCCAGGTGGGTAGACGACTTGCCTCAACCCTCAGATGACACACAGCCATGAGCTTGACCAGACTGCGCATCGCGGTTTGGATAGGATGCCTCGCCGTGGATCAGACAGTAGCATCGGCTTCCATACAACTGACCACAATATCAAATGCGACTTCGCCCGGGGTAACATCGCCAGCCCCCCTTGACCCGGCAGCAGCCGCGATGGAGCAGATGGCAGCCTCATTATCCCCATGCGCAGTAAGACTCCACTGATCTACTATTCTAATTGCATGTTGACTCAGGGTATCGTAGTTGAATTGCACAACGACAGAGGTTGCAAAGTCATCTTGCAACGCCACTGACTTTGTGTGTATTTGCACAGATCATTTGCTGAACGGAAACATTGGCGCATGTTTGGCACGGCATTGCACTGTGACTGAGTCTCTACGTATGACATCACTTGTTTGGAAGCAGTCTTCTTTCGAAGCCCATCTATCTCTTTGCTTGCAAGACAATGCACATACAGTATGCTGACAGGCGTTCAACCACCAGAGGCACAGAAATACTCGAGAACGTCTTGCAGAGTGCCCATTCGTCGCAACACGGATCAAGGTCCCATCACATGGACTCTCTTATCTGTTGCGCTGGTGGCTCTAGCTGCTCGACTAATCTCCAAAATTCCTTCTCTAAACCCTGCATTCTCGTTCGGCTGGGACGACTGGTTAATCCTTGCATCTACCATTGCGTTGATACCAGCAGACATCGGATCGCAAATCTGTGTGTTCACGGGCTGGCATCCTTAATCAAGAAGTATGGCTGACCATATCCGTAGTGATCGGCATAGGTCTGGGGCAGGACATATGGATGGTATCTCCAGACAACATCACTCAGATACTATTGGTAAATATTGACCCAAGAACCCCATGCTTCCAATTAGTAGAGTACAGATAGCTTACTGACACAAATGTCAAGCTCTTCTTCGTCGAAGAGCTTCTCTACTCATTCGTTGTAGCTGTCACCAAGTTGTCAATCCTCATCTTCTACCTGCGTCTCTTCGCCGAGACCTGGTTCCGGGTCGTTTGCTATGTTATGCTAGGGGTTACAACGGTCTACGGCATCGGGCAGATACTAGGTATCGTCCTCGTATGTTCACCAGTCAGTTATAATTGGACTCAGTGGGATGGTGAGCACAAAGGAAAGGTACATGCTCGAAAGATTTCGCCCTGGCGCATTACCATTCGATTCGGATCACTGGCTGACGTTGATACCAATTTTCAGTGCGGAAACGTCAATGTCATGGCATTCATCAATGGAGGAGTGAATATCGCCATCGACTTCATTTTATTCATTCTGCCAGTCACTCAGTTGTAAGACGATGTCAGAGGCTGCTCATTACCTGATTACTGATCAAAGCATCTAGTATCACTGTCTCCTGGACTCTTAAGAAAAAGATTGGTGTGAGCCTTATATTTCTAGTTGGTTTATCGTAAGTACCTCTACAAATATCACATCATGTCTTTCGGAGGGTTACTGATTACTCCATAGGGTGACGGCCTCGAGTGGGATCCGGCTGGCTACATTGGCAAAGTTTGGCGGAACGCAGAATCCAACCTGTTAGTGGGATCTCACAAAATTGCGAGACTGAAACTGACTCTAGAATCTACATACAGATGATTACAAAGAACTATCGATTTGGTCTTTGGTTGAGATGCACATGAGTGTCATTTGTGCGTGTATGCCGGGGATGACGTCCTTTATCCGACGCGTGTCTCCACGGATGTATCGCATGAAGCAGTATACGCCCCAGTTGCCCGACAGGAATCAACCACGAACAGGGCGTTCCGTCGCTCGCCGTATTCAAGACACCTTGGCACGCATCACTACAATTAGGATGACGGACAATCGCTCGGGCTGGCAGAGCTCACAAGCAACCGGAAAGAGCAGCGGCACGGAGAGCTCAACAACTAGCGACCCAAGACCAAACGCATACAAAGACTACCTGTCTTACGCACCTTATGCGGATGGCCAGGAAGGGGGAACCGAGTTGAACGCGCTGAGAAGTAGAGAGGTTACGTAAACTTGTTGCAATGGTCAGGAAGCACAGTATAAAAGTATCCCTGTTTCCAAACTCTGTCTCCAACTTGAAGCTCGGATGATCATCTAGCAAATTCGGAACTTGGGAGATCATTGATGCTCCCAAAGTCCGCCAGTGAGGTTGTAATCCCATCGTAAGTCCAGTTGAACTTCATCCTCTGCATAATAATCTTAGGTGAAACTTTAGCTGCCGCCACTCTTGAGTTCAGCTGAACCTGAGATGCGCGGCTACACCTGACTTGATCCCATTGCTTCAGCTTATCGGGCAATTCGTCTTTTGTGAAGTCTGGATGAACTAAAATCCCGAATGCTTCAGCATCTTCCAAAGCTTGATTGGCTCCTTGTCCTTGATACGGCACCATAGGGTGGGCTGCATCGCCAATCAAAACAGTTGAATCTTTCGTAAAGGTACTCAAAGGGTCTGCATCACGGAGTTGATAGAGTTTGACGTCAGACAAGGTTCTTATAATGTTGTAGTCAGGTTAGCGTTCCTTCATCTCGAAATGTGGTAGGGGAGCTCACTTCATGAGTTGTAGAAGCCACGATGGAAAGTCCTTGAAACTCTCAAGCATTTCATGTACATCGCCATCTTTAGTCCAAGACTCTTCGGTCTGTTGCCGGAGCATACTCTCTGGGACAGCGCATGCAAAGTTCATGACTTCCAGGTTGCGACAGGGATATACAACAACATTTCGGTTCGACCCGTCTGTCGCAATGAAGGAAGACAGAAAAACGCCATTCCCATACTTTAGTACATCCGGAATTTCTCCGAGAATATCCGATATTCTGGAACAGCTGATGGTGAACCTATACAAAGAAAGGTTCGCGGGAGTTGACTCGGCATAACACGGACCAGCAACAGCTCGACGGACTTTCGAATGAATGCCGTCCGCACCTAGATATGCTTAAGGTTCAGTTGTCTTAGTTTATCACAGCGACTAGACGTACCAATGATGAGATCCGCTTTGATCTCGGACCCGTCTTCCAAAATGACAGCTCGATCTTGAGGGTCAACTTGCACAACGCCAGAGTTGTAAATAATTTTAGCAGGATTGCCAGATAGACCCAGATCCGGGCTTGTTGCGGCTCGTAGGAGAGCATCTTTGAGATCCTGGCGATGGACCATCCACCACTCGGAACCGAAGCCTTTGAAGCAGTCAATCCTTGATTCTTTAATCAAGTTACCGTTTTGGTCATAACTCCTGAAGCCACTAGACACAACGGCTTTCAGGGACCCCTTAGTAAGTCCAAGTCTGGCTGCCATTTTCGAGCCATTTGGACCTAGCCCAACAGCAGCACCACTTTCTCTCACTTCAGGATCATTACGCTCGTATATGGTGACATCATGAGCCTCTCGCAAGACGCGTGCCGCTGCGAGTCCCGCTATGCCACCGCCGATGATGGCAACTTGAAGTGTTTTGGAACTTGTCATCTTATGCCCAGGCAGTAAAGCTTTTCTCCCAGCAGTCGAAGAATCGAAGTCAATTCTTTCCAGAGCAAAGCGATCAAAGTAGAAGTTGTGTGAGGCTGGTCTGAAGTTTGAGTCGGTTGCGTCTTGCCCTCATGTCGGCTGGCGTGATAAATCATTCGGCTTTGTAAATGGCCACAGCTTCTCTGAATCGAAACTGACACAGTTGGCATGTATTTCTGGAAAAATTATGACTCGGCTCCCGCTTCTACCTCCCGGCAATGAGATAGACTTTCGTGTTATACCCGTCGCTCTCGGACGACAAGTGGGTCTTGAGAACACCCGGCTTTCGGAAACCGGAGTCCGGAAAACCTACCAGTACTTGTAGATCCCAACTTTCCGTGCGACCAAATATCTGTGAGTTAGTATGTGACTGTGATAGCGGAAGCTTAGCATCGCCCAAGTTTCGAGACTTGCTCTGCCGGATGTCGGCCGTTTCGCGAAAACGGAAAGCCGGCTTTCAGTGTCGATGAAGCAGCTTGAGAATAGATGTGTTTTCTAAGACCCCACAATCCCAATCCAATCAGGGGCTACTGATCGCCAATTGTTTTTTGCAATCTGTTGGGCATGATGAGTTGTGGGCATTCGAGGGGCGTATTGGTGTTTGATTCGAGATGAAGTCTTGTCGTCAATGAATGGTGATGAAAAGAGGCATTCTTGTCCGATATGATATAAGAATAGGAGTACTGCAAGTGAAACTTTAATCTACACACTCGCTGACTTTCAAATTACCGAATCATAACATCACTACCGCAGGTCTCTAGCCATGTTCTCTACTGTTTGGGTCTGGGTTCTTCTATGCGGCGTTGCCGCTGCTCTCGCGTATCGCCGATCAGTCTCCAAACTGTCTGGAATCCCCTTGGTTGGATTCGAAGTCAAAGACCCTCAACAACGAAAAGGCCAATACACCTTCAATGCTCCGGGTATTGTACAGACAGGATACGAAAAGGTATGCAGCTTCATTCTTTTGGGTGGATGTTCCGGACTGAACGGTTACTTTAGTTCAAAGATAGAATCTTTGGCGTGGACACAGCAGATGGTACGAGCAACTTCACGTTGTCAAAGTCCTCCTCGATTGCGTTGCTGACACAGTAGGTCAGGTGTCAAACTCATCTTTCCTCATCAATATGTGGACGAGATCTCGAAAGAGCCAGGACTTAGCTTCCAAAACTCTCTTGACGAAGTAAAAACAGAAGAGTCCTGAAGCCAGATTTTCCATGCTAAAAGAGCTTAGGATTTACTGATCGATTACACATACATGGGCGGACTGAAGCAGTTTGCATTGTCTACTTTCAAGAGGGAAATCACACCTCATCTTCGTCAGTTTTCCCTTCAAGACGCTTTTCCAATGTAGGACTAACTTTCGCTGTTTGTAGCTATGTTCATTCCTGACTTCATTTCACTCATTGACGGTTATATCCCCAACGCACTCACTGAATCCGAAGGCAAGTTACGAATACATTCTCTCCAGCCAGGCTGATATACTCACAACTATACTTGGCTAACGTGATACCCGATAGAATGGACTTCAGTCAACATCTACCCGAAAATGCTTCGTATGCTTGGCATACTAACGGCAAGAGTCATGATTGACAGTGATGCCCCTCACAACGAGACTTGGGTCACTCTGACCACCGAGTACCTGCATGCTGGTGTGAGACACGCGCATGCCTTGAAGTTCTGGCCCCCGATTCTGAGGCCGCTTGTTCATCGATTTGTGTCAGGATACGCAGAGGTTCAGAGGCAACTCAACCTTGGAAGGTCGATAGTTGTCGACGCTATCCGCAAAATTGATGAGCGAGAGAAGATCGGCGTACCAGAGCCTCAACCGACGAGTGTGCTTTACCATATGTCTCGCAAGGCACCAGGTACTTCTTCTGCGGTCATTGACATGCATCTTAAGGAGCAACTCAATCTTGCTGTTGGGGGAATACACACCACCTCTGCCGTGCTCACCCAGACGCTGTTTGAACTTTCGGCACATCCTGAGTATATTCCAGAGTTGAGGAAAGAGGTGGTTGATACTTTGGTCAAATTCGAAGGCGCATTTTCGAAAGCTGCTTTGTGGGATATGCACAAGTTGGACAGTTTCATTCGGGAAACTCATCGCCTGAACTCGCCAAATCTGAGTATGTCAGTCATGAACCGTGAGCCGTGGGTGAAACTAACGATATCTTAGCAACTCTACAGAGACGTGCTATCCAGGATGTCACCCTCTCAGACGGTACCTTCATCCCGAATGGCACAAAACTCGAGTTTCCCACGTTCGCTATCCACCGTGATAGTGAGTTCTTCGATAACGCTCCTGATTTCGACGGTTTCAGATTCTTGAAGCTACGTCAAGAAGATGACAAAGAAGGCGGAAAGCATCACTACGTCAGTGCTCGCAGGGATATGTTGGGCTGGGGTTTAGGAAAGACGGCATGTCCTGGGCGGTTCTTAGCCGATGTCGAGATCAAGCTGATTGTCGCATTCATCCTGATGAACTACGATATCAAGAACCCGGACGGCCAAGGCAGACATGCGCATGTTCATTTCGAGAACCAGGTATGAAGTCTCATTAGATATTCAAAATCAAATCGGCAATGACTGACAATCAAGCAGGTTTTCCCTGATCCCGTCAACCCAGTACTGATGAAGAAGATTTTGTGCGAAGACATTGACGAAAATGGCCATGTGAGACAGTAGAACAGGGGGGGGCTGCACGTGAAAATCGCCAGAGCAGCACTCAAGGATTCACATTTCTCGACATGGGATATTCTTTTCCTTTCGTAAAGTGTAAAGTCAGAAATTGGCAGACTCTCTATTTCTTATTTTTGTGAAGCTCATTTTGTGTCCGCCTCAGCATTGAGTAGAGTCAAAAGTAGAAATTGCTTATGGACCCCTCTTAGTGATCGTGATGTTGCCTTGGTCCAGAGTGGAGCTGTACTTGGCAATCACTGTCCACAGTTTTACAGCTTGAGGTTAAATTTTATGTGTACAACATGCCCCAGAAAGGTCTAGTATCTTTGTGGATCATCCCACCGGCAACGGTGGCCGAACCCCACGGGCCCGAGATCCCTCATTGATATGGGCCACCCGGATCAATACCATTTCGATCGATGACCGCCTCACATAGATCTCCGTCCGAAGTCCGTCCGGATGTTGAAGTGTTGGTTCCAACCACCAGTACTGACTTCCGGCCAGACTGCCCTACTCACACATCCTTTTGCTATCCTTCCGCCTTGTTCACACCCCTTTCGGACACAATATTCCGAGCTGGAGATAGCCGCATAGATTCATGGTCAGCACTGTCCTGACGAACTTGATTTGCTGCATGGTAAAGTATGGCATTTCAAATCGGGATCACTGACGATGCTGCGCCGAGAAACCGTGCCGTAAGTGGTCCCACCTTTCCGCTATTGACAGAGTATCGAATACTGATCTAGGCCTAGTGTGACTTTTGCTTCGAAAAGAAGGTAAGCGCTTGCTGTACCTGTATCAAAGCATGCTATTAGAAATATACATGTAGTACTAACTTTGTTGAAAAGATCAAGTGCGATAGAGAGGATCCTTGTGCCAATTGTCTAGCGGCTTCCGTGGACTGTTTGCGTAGGCGGCCCAAGAGAAGAATCAGACATGCAGCTTATGTGAGGTGTGTTTCAATCTTCTATCAGGCCATGAAGAGTCTCGACCCGGTGACACCAATTGACACATGGAAATGGTGTAGAAATAATCCATCTGCCATCACATCAGCTCGGAGGAACCCTCCATCGCCAAGATTAACGCCTCGCAACTCACCAGCTGCTCCCCGGCAATCCTCGCAGGGTAGCCCTTTAATTCTTCAACAACGCTCAGAACCAAAAAATCACGATGAGGGATACGTGCCAGGGGAGACTCCTGCTTCCCAGAACAGCAAGCAAAAGTCAATTTGTTCCAACACCACTGAAACGGGACCAGCTGCTGCACAAGCTCACAGTCATATCGGATCGGAGCTGAAGTCACGCCTGGGGCTAGATGCGGGAAAACGAGAAGTTCTCAGAGCAGCTCTGGCGTTTGCAAACCAGGCGTCACAGCAACCAAGAGTCATTGCGTACGAAGAGAATTCTTCGCCAGCCTTTGATATCTTCAGCGAGACATCTTATCCAACAGCCGAGAGTCTTTATCTCATACTTTCAAGTCAGCAACCTCCTTTACTGTGTCCTGTCAAATAGTGCTGATGGAATCCAAGGTCCCCGAAAAAGTGTCGGCCAGTCTTTTACAATGGACATCGGGTCTGTCATTTCTGAAGAAACGCTAGAGCGTCAAGCCCTTGAACTGATTGAAAAGTCTGTCAATGGTGCGACGCGTGTTCATTACATAGTGACTGTGAACTTCTTTGTCTGGATGTATCTAGGAGCCTCTAACTTTCATACGACAGGCTCTGTTATGGCACAGCATATTCTGAAGAGGCGTCAACAGTACGAGAAGAATTTGCATGCAGCCTTATGTCGTATAGGTGTCCTGGACCAGCCAAGCTTGCCACTGCTTCAAGCACTGCTTTCCGGTGTGAGTATTGCGCAACTCGTTCTGTTGAATTCTTCATGCTGAGACTTTCAGGCCATGTTCATGCTCCTCTCGGGGAAGTTGGAGATGTGTTGGCAGTTGAGTGCGTCAGCATCGAGGGTATGCATGGCCTTGGGTGGACCTCGCCGGATCAGCTCTCAGACCATGGCTGCCCATGAGCTGCGAGAAACTCGGTATACTTTATCGATCTGCTACATGTTTGATAGAGCGCTGGCTCTGAGCATGAACCGCTGCCTCTCTCTGCCTGAATTCGACATGAACCCTGCGGAACTGGTGCCAACTGACGCAAAGAAGCCATACACTTCACTCATTCAAGTCTTCCTGCAATTGGCCGAGGTTCAATCCGACATTGTCCACCACACGAAGATCAAGAGTATGAAGGCACGGGAAGATGTTGAAACAGTCCAAACATTGCAAGGAAAGATGTGGAAAATTAAAGAAACCATCAGAGAGGTGAGGGTAATCGAGCACGTAGAATAGGCGGAGAGCTTTTACTAATTGAGGATAGTGTCAAAAGCAGCCCTTGCATATCGAGGAGAAGTATCTTCAGGCCGAGTGGATGGGCGTAGATTTTGTCTATCATTCCGTCATGACATCTGTTGTCAAGATCCACCCGTACCTGATGGATGATACTGGTTTACACCAGCAATTGCTCGGCTACGCTCGCACATCTCTTAGTTCCCTATCTGAGATGTTGAGCATCGCTAAAAGTTTGGTGGATTTTCACCTATTTCGGGTTTCAGTTTCGTGGCAAGTCCATCTTCTACGTTCAAGTTTCCTTCAAAAAGACGTTATGGTTAACAGCTGGCTGCCTAGGCTTATTTTGTTATATCCTGTTTACCCCTTTTTCGTCATTTTCACCCACACAGTCAACACCTCGAGTCTCCAAGATTACAGCTTAATAACTCAGGTTACAACAAGTCTCCAGGAATTTGCTGGTCATAATCCAGCCTTGATGGGAGTCCAAAAGTTGTTCGAAGAGTTCGTGAAACTCTGTAAGCCTATCTTTGAGGTGAACAGGTCGATCGATGCTATACCTCCAGCGCTCCCAGAAACAGGGAATCTGCCACCGCAAAAGACGACGCCACACACACACCATAACAGGGTTTCTCAAGGACTTTCGAGCCCTTCGGAGATAGTGTCTTTCACATCGTTGGTACAGGATGCACTTTCTGTTCCAGTAGCAGGGGAACATGCAGTCAGCGGTATCACATTCCCTGACTTGAGCACTCTGGAAGAGAACGAGTTGTTAGCAGAGTTATATAGCACCCATCCATCAATAGGCTGGATAGATGGCAATTGGTCCCTATCATAAACTTGTAAGGCTAGAATTGTAAAGACTATGGTCAATCAAGAAACGTTCCTCCCGAAACATTCAGACTAGCACCATTGACCCAGCTAGCTCTCTCCTCTGTCAGGAATGCAACTGCGAAAGCGACATCTTCAGGCAGCCCAATCCATCCATCCACCGGGGTCCTTGCATCGAATATTTGCGTCAAAAAAGCGCCGCCAGTTCTCTGCAGTTCTCCAAGAAATTGCGGCGATTTGATAATGCCAGGAGATACCGCATTCACGGTACAGCCATAGACAGGCGGTAACTCTTTCGCCAGACAACGGGTAAGAGTCGCAATCGCACCTTTGCTGGTGGCATACGCCAGTTGCTGAACCTCGGGGTCTGTCGATACAGCAGAAGTGATATTGATGATCCTGCCGCCGCCACCCTCCGACTTAGGTGGGAGATGCGGTAACGCTGCCTGACACACCAAGAACGGTCCGCGGACGTTGGTCAACATTGACGCATCCCACAAGTCGACGGTTGTGTCCTCTACTTTAGCAAGTGTTGCTTTAGCTGCATTGTTGACGACGATGTCGATCTTCCCAAATTTGTCGACGGCGGCTTGCACAAGATGAGAGGGGCCGCTCGTGGTCGAAATGTCTGCTTCCACGGCAGTCCAAGGGCTCGTCAGGCTTTCCCCAAGATCGTTCGCAGCGCTTTCCAACTCGGGCCAACCGTAGTTGATAACCACCGAAGCCCCTCGAGCGGAGAGTTCTCTAACAATGGCAGCCCCGATGCCGGACGAAGAGCCCGTCACTAGGGCTACCTTGCCTGCTAGCGCATCGGGGACGACGTCTTTAGGGGGGTTGATTCGTTTGCGGCTCGCGATAGCTTCCATGATCGAACCGTCTGATTATCAATTGTTCGAGTTTGAAAAGTTTACTTTCTTCAAGGTCACTGAGACTGTCTATTCAAAAACGACCTGAAGAAATATATCAAATACCGTGGGAGCTTTCTCAGCCTAAGGTACTAGACGTCCAGATCTCGAGTGGGCCCTGGCTTTCAGAACTGCTTCGAGTCGGACCACGTTCGCGGCCGGAAGTCGGCGTTCAAAGACAAAAGTCCGAAACTCATAATCACTGCGTGATACTGCCTCAATATTGAATGCTTTCCGTCTAGTCATCTACACACTCTTGTTAAAGTCGACGGATCATGCCGAAACATGGGTTATTTATGGTTCGGATTTCGGCCGGAAATCAGCGTTGCCAGCTTCCGGTCTTCCGGCCTGTGCAACCGTGTTACTTTGGACTTCATTCAACAACGATGACAAGGAAGAACGGTGACGCATGAGTCCAAGACGCATTTGTATCAGTAAAGACTCAACCACCAGCTGGCCGATCCTCGTTGGAAAAGAGAACGTCAGTGATCGCCTTGGCTTCACTTAAGGGGTCGAATGACATTCTCGCGTGAGGTTGAAACGTAAACTTCTGCGGCAGCACATCAAAGAAACTTATTACCAAGATGTCGACATCTTTCCAAAGTCTGGCTGTAGCAGAAACACGCCCGGATGCTGATGGCGTCACGGGCCTGGCCGTGTTTGCGACCGATTCATCAGGTGAGTCTTCGTGCAACATGATGCTTTCCAAGGATCCAGGCTTTCAGGACCCATCGATGTGAGGAGGCTGCTCACAATCGTTAAGGGAACCAATTTATCGAGGAGTATTTTGGCCGAAGCAGCACCATCAAGTCCGACAAAATCGGAAAGGACAGTGTATTCTGGATCTACTCGATCACGAAAACAATTACAGCGATTGCTGCTTTGCAGTGCGTGGAGCGAGGCCAGATCAAACTAGACGATGAGGTTTATGATGTTCTTCCCGAACTTAAGGACTTTCAAGTCCTTGGCCATGACCAAGCGGGCAATGTGACGCTTCACCCACACAAGAAGAAGATCACTCTTCGCCATCTGCTTTCTCACACCAATGGCATTGGTGTGGACGTCTTTGACCCGAGACTTCAGGCCTGGCGGATGTCTCGTGGAGAACATCCCCAAGCTTTTTCGGGCGACTCAAAGAAGGCATACACTATCCCTCTTCTCTTCGAGCCAGGCCATGGCTGGGCTTATGGAGGAGGCGTTGAGTGGGCCGGGATCCTGGTTGAGAGACTGAACAAGATGAAGCTCGGAGAGTACATGAAGGCCAACATCTTTGACCGTCTGGGAATGGCCAGTACAACATTCCATCCTGACAGAGATCCTACAATCAAGGAGAGACTAGTTGAGACAAGTACGAGAATCTCGGATGGCACACTCGTGCCCATGGAAGGCCCTTACCCCGCTGTCACGGAGGACGACAGTGGAGCTATGGGTCTCGTCTCGAGTGTACCGGACCTCACCAAGTTGACAACTGACCTTCTTCAAACTGAGCCGACGATTCTCAGCGAAGAGTCTTTGAAGGAATTGTTCTCGCCACAGTTCAGCGCCGACTCGTCATCCGCTGGGATGCTCGCTTATGGTGCAGTAAGTCTGCCATGAAATAATCCCTTCGAAACAAAGATACTAACAAATTTCAAGATGATGTACGGCCGGCTGACTGGAGAGGAGTATGATCCTTCAAAGGTTGGTCAAGCTCCAGGAGCTTACTTCATCAAGAAGGACACTAGGATCCTGCCTGGCGGCACCCTCGTCATGACAGGCATTCCGAACCTAGTCTGGTTTGTGAACCGCAAGAAGGGCATAGGCGGCTTCTACGCGAGCGCTATCATGCCGCCCGATGACGCCAAAAGCACAAAGTTGATACAAGAGTTTCTTAAGGAAGTTTTCAGCGGAAAATGAGGGTCAATATCTCTTCGTTGCGTTCAAATCCTCTAGGCAGACATGATGTACATATATCAAGATCTTGTGCAGTGTATCGAAATTATGCAGTAATTTTCTCTGAGAGTGCGAGAAGATCGGCGCACCGTTCATTTCAACCCCTGGATTCAGCTGCTTGTTAGCGCCATCAGAAGACCCTTGCTGGCATCACCGCAGATCAGCTAGTGTTCCTCGGATTGGCTTTCATTGGTCAAGACTCGGATGAAAGACACATCCCAAGGAAGCAAAAGAAAGCACAGGATGCAGCCTTCTTGTTTCCCATACTGACTCTTTCTGCTCTAGCTTCTGAACCAAGACCACCGGGTGGGCGGAGGAGGAAGGGCTACAACACAAAAGACCCATGATTCCAGGTGCGCGGGTCACACTAATCGAATGATCACTAATACACATATTTCGCAGTGAAATGCTCTCAAGTTAGCAACTGGAGTAGTTTGCCATATTGCAAAAGTATTGGGCGGGCCCATGCTCGTTGTAACAGAATGCAAATACAGATTGAATGTCAATCCACTGTTAGCACCCGTATAAACTTCCCACGGGCATCACATAACGAAAAACGAACCAGGTTTGGCGAGTCATGTCACGGGAGAACATTGCCGGGTGCAACAATCCTCGAGATCCATAGGTATTCAATTTGACGTCACTAGTGCCAGCACGGCAGCAGTACTATTCACCCGACTCAAACTAGTCTCAATTCTCCGTAGATTTACGCCTATACCCAAAAGATGTTCCCTTTGTTCGGGAGCTAACGCCAGAGTCTACGTCCCCGCAGACGCTCTACGCTTGCCCTCCCTTCAGTGTGTGTCCCTTCTTCTCTGTTCATTCCGTCAGAAATTCTCCATCACGAAAGGAACATCACAGCTAGAAGCACTTGGAGTAGATCAAAATGGCCGAAACGACGACATTACCACATATCTCAAGCCTAGTCCAGCCTGCGATACGAACAGTGGTGTCCAGCGAGGACAACTGGAAGGGCAAGACGAGCCCTGCGGAGAGACGGAAGATCCAGAACAGGCTCAATCAGCGAACGTGGAGTAAGCCGCGCACCCACCTCATGCAACCTGCTTACGCCAGCCTTTGATTGCCCATCGGTTGATGGAATTTTCGACCACATCTCGTCCATTGACATGTGCTTACTCGTCTATCTTTTGCGACAGGACAACGAAGAAAAGCTGAGAAGCAACAGCAGCGCCAGGCGAAGACCCGAGAGTCTGGTACGGACGACAGGAAACCCTCGTCCCTTCCCTCGTCCAGCAGCAGCCTGTCGCTGCTGTCCCCCAGCGCCATCGTAGCAAGCTCGAAGTGGGCAGCGGCATTGCCGGCCGCCTCCGTGGCCAATGACAATGGCACGACGACTTACGTGACGGTGGAAATGTCTCGGCAGGACCTGCACAAGTCGAAAACGAGCTCGCAGAGAAGCGCCAAGTACATGACGCTGATGGCCTTGAAGTACATCGGACGGCAACGACAAATTGCAGACATTCGAGACGAGGACTTGGACGACATATATCAGCTGTTCCTACAGCACGCGCATGAGAGCCGAAGGAGCCCGAGCCCGGATCCAATGTCGGATTCACTAATACCGCTCGTGCAATTCAATTTGTTCCGCGGCTTGATGGAGAACATGAAGACGTTGGGTATCACTATGCCCATGATCTGTGACGACGACTGCGTGTCTCCCTTTGGAAGCGACCCTATGTACAATGCCAACACCACTTGGAATATCCCGTACTTTTTGAAGCCGACGGAGACGCAGTTGACAACTGTACACCATCCCTGGCTCGACTTTTTGCCCCTACCGAGGATGCGGGATAACTTGATCAAGGCCGGGGATGACTGGGACGACGAGGCGCTGTGTCTAGACATGGTAGGCGACGGAGATGCGCCATCTGGAAAAGGAGGCATGATTCTGTGGGGAGAACCATGGGATCCCCATAGCTGGGAGGTCACAGAGGACTTTGTCGAGAAGTGGCGGTGGATCCTTGAAGGGTGCGAGGAGATCATCAGGTCGTCTAACTACTGGAGGGCAAAACGAGGCGAAAAGAGGATGAGGGTGAGAATATGAAGACCAAGTTGCTGCCATGGTCATAACTACATCAACGCCATGTTCCACGGTTGGTTGACTCTTTTGATCCAGGTGCCTGTGAGTTGGCCGCGCCATTGGCAGTAGATGAAATCAGGTGGAATGAGACAATGCGTCCGACCAATCCTTGACTTTCCACGAGGCGCTTGCAGATGATCCGACCACCGGTAAGCCGGTGACGCGGAGGCCGGGCGGCATTGAGCTTACTACGCCCGATGCACCACGCGCTAAAGCCATCTTGCCAACTACATGTTCAGCATCCCCTGTAATCGCCCATGCGGTCCTTGGTTCGACTCAGCTTCGGGAGGTGGGGGACCGGTCGCCGGTGTCATCAGTATTCCTCGCTCCAGCATCGAGGTCAGCCAAGAATCAGAATTATCTTCAAAGACGGCATTGCTGCCCATGCCGACCCATCAAGAGCACCGCAACGGCAGGTATTCTCCGAGTCCTCGACGGCCAGGGTATTGCCAACCTCCCAGGCAACAATAGCGAATCATCTGCGCAACTGTGACATTGACAAATGGGGCTGGGTGATCTACCGCACCACATATGGTGACGATGAAGCTTGGGAACGTTGCAAAGAGATCATCTCCTACCGTACACGCCGCAACATCGCAGACTCGGACGCACCAGGCATTGCAAAGAGCCTCGAGTTGACTTTCGTTGACGATAAATCCTTGTTTGATGGGGCTTCAAAGCATCAACTCCGATCTCATTTTCGCACCTGGTCCCTGGACGCATTTCAATCGGAGAACCCAAGAGCAAAAGATGTGAGCGGAGACCTAGGATATTGGATGCAAGGCTGTGGCGTCCCTCGATATGTGTATTTCTTCCAGGTAAACCTGCAGTCCCTCCGGAGTATCGTGTTCGAGGCGCCCCAACCGCCTGACTACGATCTTGACTGTGAGAGCCACATCAACTTCATCGACGCCTACTGGAAACCGATGAGAGAATTGGCAGCAGTGCTACGACATACAGAACAAGACGAGGTCGATGCTTTCGAGACCGCTCATGAGCCTATCGAGGGGTGCGGGGAAGAGAACGTCGGATGGATGAAGGTGTCTACTGAGACGATGGGTTCCGATTGGTATGAGGTATGGCTCAGCAGTATCGGCGGCGATGCCAGCATTTGGTATGCCTTCTACCAACGCCCGCCCGAGAAGGTGTACTGGTGAGAAAGACGCGGAGAGCTTCGCGAATTCGTTGCAATGATCGCGACGCTCATCCAGTCTCGTGTGGCGATGAGCACGCACCAATGCCAGGACCGTCTTCAAAGAACGGCGCACACATGACAAGGGTGGGTGCCAAGGCGACAAGTGCATCCAAATGTCGCTTCCCTGCGCCTCAGGGGGCTTTGGTCAAGGGGAACCTGACAGGGCACCTCAATTCTATTCTCAACTTCCAGTCCTCATGCTCATGACGACATTGGCACGATGAGCTTTCTTTCCAGGCCCTTCCTGAATCCGAATGTTCTATGCTGGCAAAGTACGATCGCAGCTCGCTTTTGCAATGGGGTGTCTCATTCGCACAGGCGATTCCTACCCATTCATCATCTCTCGCCAGCTTTTGGTGGCTCCCGCTACGTATCCAACGACGCGAAAGACTCTAAGCCTAGGATGGATATATACTGCGAGTCTGAGCTACTCAGGGACGAAATCCAAGACTTTGATAAATGGGGCTGGGTGTTCTACAGGTGCACATATGACGACGATGACGCTTGGGCTCGCTTCAAAGACATCATCAACGACACATCCCGACAGGGCAGCGAGTACTATAAGTATCCTGAAATTTTGGATAAGATGAAGTGGACATTTTTGGAAGACAAAGAACAATTCAATGGCGCTTCCACGGCCACGTTGCGCTCTCACTTCCGCGAATGGGTGAAGCTACCAGCACAGGCGGGGAATTCATCAGAGACACCCCCCCGAGAGTCCAGTCCTTCCAGCTTAGAGAGCAGCGCTGGCATCACGATGTATGATGAATATTTTGTGCAAGTCGACGAAGTATCGTTGCGCAGTGTTGTGTACAAGGAGCTGCCGCCGGCCGAAGCCAACCTCTACGTCCGCGGACACATCAATTTGGTGAACGCCGACTGGCAACCCGCACGTCTGGAGGATTACCATGGAGAAAATGTTATTGAAGAACATTTCAGATTCCCAGATTTGGAGGGATGCACTGAAGAGAACGTCGGCTGGATGAGGCTAGCAGTGAGTGAAATTGGCCCGTCCACCTTTCAGAGGATTCCTCATCTGTGGTACATCGTTTATCAGAGACCTCCCGAGATCGTGTACGGCGTGTAGCTTATGTGTCATGTATTATTCAAGGATATATGGAACGCAGAGGGAGAACATCGTTGCTCAGTACTATGAACTCATGTTTCTTTCGTTCAGTCGAACTTCCACACGTGTAGGAATTCGAATGGCTAGGTGCGAAGATGGTCTACGTATATATCGACTCCAATGTCGTTTCGATGGGAATCATAGAACCAACTCCTACTCTGACATGGCCATCTAATCTTTCGCGCCATCTGTTTCGAACCAACCCTGTTGATACATCGCCATCCCAAAGCCTGACGCCTGGCTTACCGCCATACACTTGTCCATGATCCACGTCTTCGTGTCTTTGTCGGCAAAAGCAGACTTAAGCACGGCTATCATGGGCCAGAACATACACCAAGCATTGAATCCAACGCCCTGTATGGTACAGGCTGAGTCTCTGCCATCGAATCCGAATACAATACGGATTTGCTCGCAAACTTGCTCCATCGCCGTCAGTCCATGAGGGAGGTTGACGAGCGTCTTCAGCTCTTCACGCGTCGGTTCTCCAAGAGCAATTGATAAGCTAAGAATGTACTCGATGAGGTGTAGTCTGATGGTGAGGTAAAGACCTTTCGCTATCGCATCGCTTGCGTCCGATTTACGGCCCAACAAGTGGTTGAAAGAGTTCAGGTCTTCGTCGACAGCGCCGTCGGGTCCAGGTTTATTTCGGGGCCCGGGGGATGAGATCCTGTAGTTCGCGGCTGCCTCTAGGTCGCGTATGATGTCGATCCCTGTCTGGAAGATTTGTGTTACGTGGCCGACGGATGCTCGTTCGATATCTGCCAATGATAGCACGTGCTGGACCATGTGTTTGTAGTCGATAGCTCGAACGAGCAGCGGTTCAACCATGCCGCCTTTCGCCCATGCTGCTTGTTTCAAGCCGACTAGAACTGGTGATCGACCTTCCTGGCCGATGAATATTTCGAGCATCTGAGGTAGATTAGTGGCCGACCGTAACTAGCCTGTCATTACAAGAATGCTTACCCCCAGGTGAACCACAAACGCAAGTAGGCCCTTGTCGAGTGATGTGGCAACACCCTGTTCTGCTCGATACCTCAGGAGTGCGAGAGAACCTCGACAATGCGATGTTATTTTCCTTGGTGATGTATCCGGTACTATTGCCTTGGAGTATGTTAGGGTCTCACGTCGAAAGGTTCATCCTCATCGGTGAACGTCTCCTTTACCAGCCTCACTCAGTTTACTTACCTCGAAGAGGCCGAGAGTGAGTAATGCGACAACAACGGAGTCGTCTTGTGCTGTCGAGTTATCTTTCAGTGCGCTGCCAATCTTGCCGATCGCCTTGCCATAGTGTTGCCGCGCTTGAGTCATCAAGCCTGCCTGGCACATCTGTAAAGAGGAGCTGGCTAATGCCGTGGCTTTGAGAGCCTCCTGCAAGACAGGCGATGAGGCAGCCGACGACTTCATGCCGGGGAAGAGGTTGAACAAAGCGACCTCGCCTCCGGATGCATAGTTGGAGTAAAAGTGGTTGAGTGAGACGAGCTCGGAATCGACTGAGAAGGCTTTCGGTACGGTCCTCAGCCTCCTCTGAATCTCCTCTTCCTCTACTGAGTCCGGAGAGGTTCCCTCCTCGTCGACCTCCAGAATTGACGACGTTGGGTCAAATGCACCTCTTTCCTTTAGTCGTTTAGCGACCCGAACCTGAACCTGGTGAGCCGCCGATGCGTTCTGTTGGCGGTGCACAACGGCCCACGGATCCGCGTAACCTGGACACGCCCTTCCGAGACTCGTACAGCGGTTACACGAGGGCTTTCGGAGATCGCACTGGCGGCTTGCGTTAGATTCAATTCACTTCAAAGAGCCGACTCAAGAGTCGGTAATAGGCGTTTGGAGTCTCAGTACTTTGACTTTGCGCGCCTTGCAGGCGAAGCAGCTCGCTGACGGGCGGCATCCCATCGTATCCGTCGGCTCCGGTCCTCTGTGGGCGATGAACCCCTGGTGTGATCCCGACCCCCCACCACTTCTGCGAAAAGATGGAACGTTAAGCCAGCTCTACGGTGAGCTCAATCGGTTATGACTTGATGAGGGGGAGCTCGTGGGATACCGACGACGGCGACGGCGACTTCGGGAACGCGGCTTCGTTGACCTTTTTGAACCGGTGATCGCTTGCTGGTCGTTGGCTGAGCATGAAGGAGAGACAGCTAATTAGGGCGCGGCCTGGCGTCTATCGAGGCTAGCTATTCCCTGGCCCGAGGCACCGGGCGTGCGGGGGCCACCTCTCGACGATTTTAACTTTCAGCAAATGGCTCCAACGCGCAACGAAGAAGGGAATCCGTGACTGAGAGACTGCGTGGCTGGACAGTGACGAAAGCGTCAGCCAGGCAAACGGAGGTGATGGTGGTGGCGTCGAGTCATTTGGGAATTTCTCACGCCTTAAACGTATCCCAGCTGGCGCCCATTGAACCCGGAAGCTTTGCAACAGGACTGAATCGTGTTTGATGACGTGGTCAAAGCGCCGAAACCTAAACCATTGTCTTCCGGACGGTCAATGGCGGGATTCCTGTCCGATGGATGGTATTTCGCAGGTTTCTGAGGTTCATTTAAGCTTTTACAACGCGTGGGACTTCCTATTGTTGATGAGACTGGGGGACAAAAGGGCTGCTCCAAGCCTGCAAGGCTCTCACACGGTGAATTACGTAGTGAAGGGATGCTAGGTTGGGTGGTTGCTGAGGAATCCCTTGGCACCCAAGCTCTCTCGTCCCGAGAGATCGGACAGATCGGATAAAGCCTCGGGCCCCTGAATTTCAAGGGAATTGTAGCCTCAGCCTGCCAGAAATAGCGTTCGTCCCGAAACTCTGAATAAGGTCATTCACTTACTGCACTATGGCCGTTGAATATCTCGCTCAGGTCGAGACCGTCCTTTCGAGTGGATCAATCACACCCTGGCTGACGTCCTCGAGGTCACCCACACCCTTGGAACACGCACATCAGACATTTTGGGAACCATTCACTTGGCAAGCCAGATAGTAAAAGTCCGTTCAAAGATGGCAATGACTGAGACGTGTCAGAAGAGCTCTGAGATGAACGCTTACTCCTATCTCACACGTTCGAGGTGGCACACGGTTCAGGCATGGTTTGGGACGACCCTTGGTTCGACAAGGCACCAGGATGTGTAAAGGCGAGATCATTGATGACAACATTTCATGTAATTGATTCAGAAATACTATCGTTAATGCTACTGTCAGCTCTGGTGTGGTGTAGAGCCTTCTCGGCCGAGTGCTTGCCGATAGACTTTCGGGTTCGGTCTAATACACCGAACGAGCCTCTCGACGCCGTTTCCTCTCCTCTTGTTCGCGCTGAACGTGATATGAGACCATGATCTCCAAGTCGTCTTCCCATCGGTGAGTTGCACCCTCAAACTTGACATTCGTGAGACCCCAGTCAAACAGAATCGTGTTGATCTCTCTGAGACAGTCGGCTTCTGTGATACCCCCATTTTTCTCCGGGATGACCACGTCTCCGTACTCCTTTTTCAGTCCATGAATTTCATCCTTGCGATGCTTTCCTGCTGCTCTTCTCTCTTTGGCTTGGAGCAGCTGGACCTTCGTAACCTCCATTCTCCGGCGGATGCGTCCGCTGGTGGGGAGTCTTTGTTCTTCTGATGTGGCAGACTCCTCAGTGCTATTACTTGATGAAGTTTTGCTGGACAAGCTGCGTGTAGTGTGTGATATGGCTGCTTGGAGACGGAGGTCTTCTTTGAGATTCTGTTTGAAATTATCGAGTTCGGTGTCATGAGCTTGTCTAAGCTCGGCCAAGAGTCTGCGATGAAGCGTTTCCAGGACACGACGCTGGATGCTATAAGCTGCTACTGCTATGTTGATGTCGTAGGTGGTTGGCATCTTCTCATCCATTGAGTCATTGTGTTCAGATCTAGCAAAGATCTTTTTGAGACCCAACATTGACTTGGATATGCTGAGCGATTTCTTTGATATGTTGTTTTTGTTTCTGAACTTGATGAGAGTGTTCGTGAATCTGCCCATCAAAACGACCTAGAGTGTCTTGTGTTCAATTATCTCAGGCGACGAGGAACAAATTTGATAGGGTATCGCAATGCTGAAGGACAGAAACTGCGGGAGGAAAAGCTCTGATCTTATCCTCAATTGTGCAACTATCTCCGATGCTCCATAGGAAGACTAAGGTAGTACGATGTCACGGTCAAAAGGGTGGCTTCTGTCAAAAGTGTTCATATTCAAGAACCTCTTCGGGCCCAGACCTAATGCTACCCAGGGTTCCGCGGAAGCGCATGGTACAAATGTTTTGCATAACGAACAGTATTATAAGGCCTGCAATGGCGAGCTGATCGAAAATTTGCAGTCCGAAGCTCACCATTACATGGCGTTCGTGACTGCTTTGAACAGAACTTCGGCCCAGATTTGATACCCCCTCTCGTTCAGATGAACATGGTCTACCAGACACTCCTCCATGTCGACCAAGGGAGGCTCCAAGAACTCTATTTGGTTCACTGCATCCTCTTGAAATTGTCGAACAAGCTCAACATAGCTCTCATTCGCTTTCACAATCAGTTCATCCCTGATATCCTTCCTCCTGAAGAGCCCAATGAGAAGTATCTTGCCATTCATTTCGAGCAGAGCCTCCACAATCAACCGAAGTAGAGCTAGGTCAGATTCTCTCATTCCGCGCTTGGGATGCAGGTTGTTTGTGCCCACATGCAAGACCCATAACTTGACATCGCGGTTCCGAAGTGCATCCAGCAGCCCGCCAAGGGGTCTCAAGGGGTCTGATGAGCCGGTGAGTCGATAGATGACGTTTTCGAACTTGTCGCCGCCCACGCCAGCATTGAAGACGCCTTGCAAGCGTTCAGTTCTAGCCGAAGGTGTTTGTAGATGCTGTTGATTTGTTTCATCGCCGATCATCGTTGTTGATGGCCATAGGTCGAAGCTCGGAGATAGGCCAGTTGTAATCATGCGTTCGATCATCGAATCTCCAAGCAAGACAATGGACGGCTGTTCAGGTTTGTTTTGAAGTTCCACAAGATGCCTCTCAAGAGATGTCTCATGAGACCGCTGCTTGTATTTGCTGTGAGGGATCAATTTCTCCATCTTTCTTTCGGATGCTGGTGGCGTTCTCGATTCCTCAGCCCAAAACCAAATAATTGCGGAAAGGCCGGGTTGTTGTTGTTGCGAGGCAATCAGCTCAATTGAAAGACTTGTTGTTCAATGTCATTTCGGACAGAATTTCTAAAGGTCTACTTATGGCTCGACAGCATTTGAGGCTGTATAATGCCTGTCGTATATTCGGAGTGCGCCTACGGTGGCTATGCAAGTCTCACGAATCTGCCCAGCCCGCCGTTGACTCATCCGGCATGCAGCCTCAACTTCTCATAATCCACGACCAACAGCTTTTCATCGATCCATAAATCATTCTCAAGTTGAAGGCTCCTTTTGCCGCCAATTCCCCGATGCTGCTGATCTCAGCGGTTGAGAAGATCTCGTGCTGTTGTCGCGACTCGAATTCTCATATCTGGGCTTCCGCCAAGCCGAGCGCTCACCGTTGTCCTTCTCATTTTGAACATCCGACGGCGTCGTACGATCCTTGAGCTTGTCGGGCAGACCGCGAGCAACGTTTACGCGCAAACGACCGGTTCCCCAGACCGTGCGGTCCAGCGCGTTCCTTGCTGCATCCGCCTCTTCAGCTGTCGCGAAATCGACGAAGCAGTAGTGGTGTTCACCGCCCTTGGCCCTAGTAGACTCATGGGGAGTGATGCGCTTGCTGATGGCTAGTCTTTATCATCGGAGTTAAGTTAGCGGCGACATAGGGCAAGTTCACCATCGCTGGCGACTGGAGGGGGGTTTCCTACGGCTTGTGGCCCTCGAGAATTTGTTGCAGCTCATCCTGGTGCTGCGCCTGATCAACCATAGCACCCAACCCTCCAACATAGAGTCTCCTTCCATCCCCTTCCGTCGCAACGCCCTCGTCGAAGTGCTTGATGGCGCCGTACGGTCCGCTCTCAATGCCGCCGTTCCTACCGGTCCGCGCCGGTGATCTGCCAGCCTCATCGCCGCCCTCACCCCGCGACCCAGACCAGTCTCCCCACCTGTTGAAAGCAGGCTCTCTGTCGCTTTGCCACCGGCTCCGGTTCTGCTTCTTGGGCTCGCATGGGCCGACCTTGAGTGGTCTACCACGGAGGCGCGCGTCAAGAGAAGATAGTGCCCGCTCAGCGTCTGCGCGCTCAGAGAAATCGACGAAGCAGTATCCAGGATTACGAGCCGAGACCGGGTCCATCGAGATGTGAATCTTTTCGTACCCTTCAAAGCCATTGTCTTTCAGCATTTCCTCGATGTCGACGGGCTGGATGCTGTAGAGAAGGTTGCCCAGGTAGATGCGCCGGCCCTCCTCCAGGGCGGCGGGCTGCTCCGATGACGAGTTCATGGCGTTGACTAACTGGATTCAAGGAGAAAGTGAGTGTTGAGATGAGTGATTCGCAGCCTTGTGTTTGACAACCATGTGTCGTTGAGAGGGATGCAAAGGATCAAATTTTGAGAAGTCTAGTGAGGGGCATGGACCAAAATACGCAGTGGGGTAATTCGCGTTTTTGCGGCTAGGGTTCACCGGCACAGAAAAGCTTATACTTCATTCCATTGGTCGGTGAACAATGAATGAAAGTAACATCGGAGGCTCTTAAACTACAAGGTCCTCATAACCAATAGTTTAATGCATTGAAGAGCGATGGTATCGAAGTTCAGTCCGAGAATAAGTGCCTCAAACGCCCTCATATCTTTCATAGCCGAGCTTAAAGAATAAACACGGGCTGTCTGTTCCCGATCAACTCACTTTTCGACACTTGCACGTCTTTCTTGTCGAAATCGTGCAGCATCAACCAACAAATCATCCTAAATACGAGTGTATACCAAATTGCCAAACGCTGCATCTCGATGTGATTTGGTACTATCGTTTCCCACTGCGGCAGCTCTGGCATCTTGCTTGGCTGCGGAGGTTCCGGCTGATCACTCGGTTGCTCAGTCTGGATCCGATGAGGCCACGTCTTGACCCTGCTGATGCCAGGCGTTGGCGTCGAGTCGTCAAGAGCCTTGGTTGGAGACTCTCCGGGATTGAGCCTCAAAGGCAATGGAGGAATTGCGCTGCCGGCTTGAGGTGAGCCGATACCCAAGCGGGATATTCGCTTCTCAGTGTCGTCGTGTATAGCCCTTGAAACGACCTCATCGTCTCGTTTGCCCCTCTTGGCAGAGTTGGTGGGCACTACACGCCATAGTATCCGCTCGAAGTATGTCTCCATGAACCTTTGCTCTCTCATCTCGAGGGGAATACCAAGCAGGTCCCGGAACGAAATCTGTTCCTTCCCCCTTTTCTCTGGAACGTTAATAGCTGCCAACACTTCCTGAAGGTGACGACGTAGCACATCCAGCACAATTCCCTGGTCTCGTTTCTTGAGAGATTTGTCTGCTAAATCAATAGCTTTGTGCAAGAGACTCATTCTTTTGCTCGTTAAAGGCGGGTTCTCGTCAAAATCGTTGCTCATCTCCTCCGCTGACTCCGAAAGTGCCCTGATATCCTCGACAGCAGTTTCAACCCTCTCGTCGATGACGGTCTCCGACTCTTCTTCGACAACCGTGAGATCGTTCATCAACAGTCCGCTGAAGGCGATAAGCAGGCGCTGGAGTGATAGCGAATCTCTGTCCCAAGAGAAAATTGTTGGGTTAGGCAGGAAACGGAAGCATCTCCCCTCAATGTGCAAAACTCGCGCGAGCATGCCGATGACTTCGAAGGTAACTGCCTAAAAGTCAGTTGAACGTGCACAAACTCGCACAGATTCGCTCGATAAACCGATTACATACCAGAAAAGAGGTGCCGGTCTTTCTTTCCTTCCCTGTAAAAAAGTGTGGTTTTGCCGTTGCACCCTATTTGGGTCAAAGTCTCCGCAATAGCATCGCGTGTGCTCAGTTGAAGGATTTCGACCTTGATCCCAGTTCCCGACGACGTCGTGAACTCCCTCTGCCACTCCAAGTCTTCGTCCGGGTCCTTCTTATCTCGATAAAAGGTTGGCACTCGTCCAAAACAGAGCTCTTTTACTTCAGATGTCGGGATCACGCGGCGTTCCTCGAATGAAGTGTGACCGGTTTTCTCAAAGACAAAGACGACACCCAGGTCTGGCACACGTGAGCCAGTCAGACTATAGCCGTTCCCTTCCGCGCGGTACTGGTTGTTGTCTCGGTCGAAGACTCTCCAGTAGAGTCCGAGTATGGCCGCCAATTCAATGAGGTGAGAGATCGTAGAGGTTGCATACGGCTTCTTTATGGAAGGGTTGGCATCAAAACTTCTATTCTTCGCCTGAACTTTTACGGCCAGGGTCGGCTCAGGCAAGTTAGGTTTGATGGAATTTGGCAGCCCTTCACCGTCAATCTTGTCCAGCTCCCATTCCTTGGAATCTTTCTCCATTCTTTCAATAGCGATCAGAAGATAGACCCAGGTTGCAAGCTCGTTGTCAACAGTATGGACCTTTTCGGGGGGCTTAGATGGTTTTTCGTCGTTGACTCCGCTGGTCGATTCCTCTCTTGGGAATATCTTGTCATAGTCGAGTCGGTTCTTGGTACAACTGTCCCTGGTGCCCTCCACAGACCACATGTCTCCCTTTTCAGGTTTACTCATGTTCTTTGGGGGTGCCAAGAAAATGATTGGAGCCTGAAATCTGACCTCGAGACGCAGCTCTTTAAACTTTGGTCGTTTTGTCGTACCTCCCGCCCATCCTCCCATCACGTCTTCGGTGCAATTTGGGAGGCCTTTGGCCGATGCAAAGATTGCTTGCATGATCTGTAAAGTCGCTGCAAAGAGAGCAACTACTGAGACGACGAGAGCGACAATCGCAACAACTACGTCGCTCCCTCCGTTAGCATTGCCACTGTTGTTGCTATTGTCGCTCGGGCTATTACTGGAATTGCTGTCGGCCATCTTGACATATGTCCACTCCGTGAAACACCGCGTAAAGAGATGACGAATGCGACGGAGACCATCAAAGTCCGAAGTCTTCGCCAAGAATCCTATCCCGTACGGCTGGGATTGAGAATGAGATCGGTGATGCTACCCCGCCGAGGAAGATTCCGTTGGTCGCCGGCAGAAGTGGGTCGCAAGTGGACGAGCCGGCGCCGGAGTTGTGAGCACGTGGGCGGCGGCGACTAGCCGTGTCTAAGACCAAAAGTCGGTGAAGGTGTCTGGTAGCTTAAAACGCCATTGTTTGAGAATGAGACATAAGTAGATAGATAAAAGAGGAGGAAAAGTCGAGGACGAGGCTTTGATGAACTACCGCAATTGATGGTTTTGCGACGGTTCGCCCCGTCTCACAGGATTCCAGCTGCAGCTGAAAGCCACTTATGCGGCATCCCTGGAAATGCGCATCATGAGGTCCAGCTCAGCCCATGGCGCAGCCCAAAACAGTCTTGAAGGGACACCACGGATGTACGGGTTTTGCGGCCTGCGTAGACTGCGTGATAAGCAACAACAAGAAAGCGTGCCATTGGTGGCCTTCTTCTGTCAGAGACTTGCCGTATAACCAATAATCCTGCCTGTCGATACAGGTGCGACACCATGTCTCAACCATTGGGCATTGTTTAGTTGGAGAAGCTGACCGCTGTCACATCTCAAGAACAGCACTCTTCGCGTTCAAGCAGGCTGCGCAGAGCCTCCTTTTTCGCATGGAAATGCGGAAGCTCTAGCTGCGGACCTCACAAGTTCTTGTGTGCAAATTTGCCCATTAAAGTCTGCCTGACCAACCTTCTGTCGCATGTTAGACGTCATAAGCCATCTTTGATTTCTGACTCAGAAGCTGGTCGAAATACCGATCGACCCACTGGACCCAATGTCCAACGCATTCTCTGCTTACCCCTTGATTTCGGTCAACTTGCGAAGATCAAAATGACGTTGGAAGAAAATATTCAGTTGCCTTCCACTCTTTTGAGATTGGTGGTTTGGAGTTGAGTAAAGTCTTGTTGTACTGAAGGGTTGAACCCTGGCGAGAGGTTCGTCTGATGCCTTCGGGATTTAAGGGAGTCTGTGCATGGTATTATGCGGGATGACGGGGACATGCCTCCATTCTGGAATGAGAACTAAAGCATCTCCGGCAGCAGCATCCTAGCGACACATCAGCCAAAGTTGCCAATCGTGAAGAGGGCATGCATGCTAATCATGACCCCGCCTTTGCGACCTGGAAAGCAAGAAGAAAATGCTCACTTGACTGGCAGATTTGGAATCTTGAGCGTCATTATGTGTCTCAATTCGTGGTATTCTAGCTTCTTAGATTTTAAACAAAGAAAAATTACGCTTCGTTAGTTCTTCAATATCCCATGCTGACTCGAGTGATTGGATGCACTCTCCAAATCATCAGGGAGATGTTCATAGGGCCCGGCCTTGCGATCTGTGTCTTGTCTGAATTCCGACACAATGACCTCTTTTGTTTGCATGATTCCCTCCATGGGACCCAGCTTGCGTCGTGTGCTCATGGCATAAGCCTCCTCCTCTGCATTTCCGCGCCGGACGGTGGACCGATGCGTGGACACATTGGTCCCTCGGCCGTAGTAGTGAAGTCCCGATGTTCCGCCGTGAGATTTTGACGATGATTTTGCTTGCCTCCTCTTGTTCCACAATCCGTAAAGTGTCGGTGCGTTGACAACGATGGCGGCGGTGAGCAGTTCGGTGCTAGCCCATGTCGTTCGGTTAATTTGGCTGTCCTTGTTCGTGATGTTGATCGGAAGGCGAATGACGGTAATGGCGATGATGAAGACGCCGAGCGTGAAGAGCGCGTACAGCTGGATCTTGCGTTGCCATGGGGTCTTCAATGAGAAGACCAGAGGAAGTGGTAGTACGAGCAGCATAAAGTCGGTGACGATGTTGAGGACGCCGACGACGACGAGTTGCATTTGGGCCTTCGAGCATGCGCCTGCAAGGGTTAAGGGTCAATAATCAGAGGTCGTTCCATCCCATCGGCATGTCTTGCATGTCGGAGAATTGGCTAGTCACGTACCTGGGTCAGGAACAACCTGCCAGTAGAGGTGGAAGGGATTGCATTCGCTGAACGTCGTCACCTGGCACGCGACGTAGGTGCAGAAGAAGATGATGGAAAATGACCAGATGGTGATCTTCTCGAAACGAAGATTCAATAATAGTCGACGATAGACATCCAACAGGACGAGCTTCTGAAGCCAGAGGCTTGGGGATCTGTCAGTATGATTGATCGTAAAAGTCTAATAACCTTCCTGACTCAAACCGCTGCAGATTGTGACCAAATGGCCCAAAGGAGCGCTGAAGTCCAGGGTGGTTGAGGGTGCACGGTGATGCAAATGGGGGCGGCACTGACTAGGAGTTGTAAAAGACCCGGTTCACAATGGACAGTTTGCTGCCGATCTCCCGCCTGTAGATCTCCTCATCGGTAAACGTATGATTCTTTCGATATGCCGCCGAGACGTTGTTCGTGCCCCAAGTCAAGACGACGTGGATGAGACCAAGCCGCGTCAGAGCGCAGATAATGGCGGCGACGGTGAACCAGTCGCCCAGGTTGTATTCCTGTCTGGAGATGTGCACCTTTTTCCAGACCAGCCGAGCCACCATGATAATAAGAGCCAAGCAGCTAAAGAGCCAATGGATGAGGAGCGTCGGGTCGTCCATGGCCGGCGAGTGTCCGAGGCTCCGGGGGGTCGACGAGACGATGGGACGGGACGGAGACAAGACAAGACAAGAGACGAAAAAGAGAGACGACGGAAAAAAAGGAGCTTCTCGAGAAGAGGAGCGCGGGTTCGGGGGCAGATCATGAACATTATTATCTTCTCAGTTTCACGTCTACGTACTCATCGCACTAAGGTAGGGGAGAATAGGGGGCCTTGCTAGCTTGATACGCAAAGTCTCCCGATCCCAGCTTGCCCGAGGTACTGACCTGCTGCGTCAAAGGACCATCATACCATTCTCAGAAATGTTTGCGGGCGTGACCAGTCTCTGGGGAGTCTGGGACTTTGCCAATGCTTGCAGAGCGGCCAGAGCCTTGCAGAGAAAAGAGAAAAAAGATGGTCCTAGATGAAAGGATCAGGGCTTGAGACCTCCGGAGTTTGGATGCTGCGAACCCCAACTTTCCCTGTTGGTGGTTCGGATGCACGTCGGCTGTCGAGGAATCTCCATAAGATGTGTGATTGCGATGATCCACCGTGGGGCTCTTCCTCGCAGCTTGTGCGGCACATACTCTTTCGTCTGTGTGGTCTGTCGACTTCTAGAAGCCGAGGAGGGCCGATTTGCGAGAGCCTGAGAGGAGACGTCTGGAGTCTTGACCCAGATTCGCCTGTGCCGCTGTGCCGCTGAAGATTGCTGCAGGATTTAGAGATGCCGAGGAAACAGGTGGGGCGCCAAATGCCTTGCGTTGTAATTGTTTAGGTACAAGTTGGACAGCCGATATTGATAGAAGTTTGTTCTGTTTGAGTTTGACAGCTTGACAGTGACACTCTTTTCTTGCGCTCAGATGTTCTCAACGGCTACCCACGACGGGAGCGATTTCTTAGCCGATCGAACCCCAACTCAAAACGGACATTTGCTAGTCTGCTTCGACTGTTTTCAACGAACTTCACTGAACTGAGTCTAGCGGCGACGGGCGGCGTTGAACTTTACATACGAGTGTCTCCCCAGCTAGGGGGCTTATCGGAGCAAGAAAGCTCACCGTGAAGAGAACGGGAATGGGCTGACCGTTGGTCCGTCGGCTGCTAGCATCACAGCACTAGTGAGTGCCGCCACAGTCGTATTACACATATACTTCAATGGTCCCCCTCCTCCAGGATTCAAGGCCGGGTTAGACGGGCTTGGCAGCCTGTTGAAGAGCATCCAGGATGATGGGATGTACGGATATTGGATATTGTTGTGCAGACCCAATTTATTCAAGAACCAAATATCACAATAGTGGAAAGAATGCCGGGTTTGCGAGATCATCGTAATCAGGACTTCGCCCCGCCGCTAGTTTGAGTTGATCAACCGAATCCCCCCCCCACGTTACGTTGAAGCGATTTACGGTAATAAGAATGTTGTCTTTGGGTCCCTTGGCTTTCCGCTGCCCGGCACATGGCTTTGACAGAATATTGACGGAACTTAGCCCCCAAAGATGCCACATAGGGTCAGATTTCCTGCCTCGAGAATTGGCAAGAGTCAGTCACCTCGTCCGGAAACGTTCTCTGCCTGTCTTTTCTGAGGCTTTCTCTGCTCAATGGCGGAGATTAATGCTCGGGCTTGATCCGTAGTCAGCGGCCTAGTGGGAGACTAATATCCACGATGCCGGACTGATGCAACACTTGCTCCATTCTATATGAGACCTTCGGGTGTGGTAGTCCCCCGGTCCCTGTCCGCCCGCTGACTCGCGCACAGAACACCATTCTAATATGAGCCGACTTGCTCTTGTTGATGGAGAAAATTTCCAGCAAGCAAAGCTGTTCGCGGCGGTGCGCCTCCTTTTGCAGCAGCTTGCCTCTGTCCCGCCCCCCCGACTTCCGCCGTGATATCATCTCGTCCGCTGGGACCGCTGGGCCACAGCCCACCTCGACCGTCCTCGCTAGAGATCGGGACCTAGCCGCGTGGCGTTCTTGTTCTCGACCTTTCGGCTGACTGCCGCTCTTCAGACACACAGACCGAAGCGGGTGGGTGCCGCTCGCCGGGCCCCCCAAGGCGTCCAAGGTCTCCAAGACCGGGCTTAATGTCGTATCACCCTTCCACGCCTCCATTCCTTGATTGTTCTTCTCCATCAGCCCTATCTTAAAATCACTCGAGGATGGACCCTTTATGCCAGGCTAGCGGAGCACGCGGCAAGGTGATTTTCATTCATTAAAGAAGTCCCAATTGCCACCCTCCCGTACCGCGTGGCCCAAAGTTTAATCCCCTGCTCAACCGCTGTCGCTCTTTTCAGTCTTTTCCCGGTTCCTGCAGCTCGTGTCCGTCCCTTTATTTTCCTTTTTTACTCGTACTCTAATTCCAGAAAGACGGTACCATTCCTGTCCGAGTGTCTCACTTCCCAGGCCATCTACGTGACACGCCCGACGCAGCACAACCATGCAATTCCTCAAGTTCACCGCTGCGGCCGCCGCTTTGTTGGGCCAGGCTTCCGCGTTCCCTCCCGGCCCTGGATTCGGTTTCCCGGGCGGCGGAGGAGGCCCGGACTCTCAGCCGGATAGGGATGGCTGCGTCGACTCCGAGGCGGCGTACATTCGCTCCTACTTCTACGTCGGAGGCGGGTACGTCGACGATGGTTCTGGTGGTCACATCTTCCGCGACCAGATGTACGTTGAGAAGTTGCTCCCCACGACTGGAGTTTCCCAGGAGACGCCGATCGTCCTAATCCACGGTCAGGCCCAGACGGGTAGCGTAAGTTTTGCAGATCTTTCCCCAGCGGGATCCTCCCTCGCGATGTCATAATATTGAATATTCGCTGACACTCCCTCCCTCAGAACTTCTACAACAAGCCCGATGGCGGTAGAGGATGGGCCTCTCACTTTGTGAGACAAGGCTTCGAGGTCTACATCGTCGACCAGACGCTCCGTGGCCGCTCCGCTTGGATGCCCGGCTACGGCGCCTCCAAGCCCTCGACGTACTCCGCCGAGATCATCCAGCAGCGCTTCACCGCCGTCAAGGAGTACATGCTCTGGCCCCAGGCCGTGAACCACACCCAGTGGCCCGGTACCGGCATGATGGGCGATGAGGTCTTTGATGCCTTCTACAGCTCCAACGTCCAGTTCATCAACAATGCCACCTACCAGCAAACGACCGTCCAGGCCGCCGGTGCCGCCCTCCTCGACAAGATCGGCAGACCCGCCGTCGTTCTCGGTCACAGCCAGGGCGGTCTTATGCCCATCATCATCGCCGACGCCCGCCCCGAGCTCACCAAGGCCCTCATCCTCCTTGAGCCCACCGGTCCTCCCTTCCAAGAGGCCGTCTTCAGCAACAAGTCTGCCCGCGCCTACGGTCTCACCGATATCCCCGTCGCCTATTCCCCCGAGGTCACCGATCCCACCACCGACCTCGTCCAGCAGACCTACCCTGCCAAGGGTGAGAACTACGTTCAGTGCGTTCTCCAGGCCGAGTCCCCCGCTCCGCGCCAGCTTGTCAACCTCGCCGACAAGCCCATCCTCCTCGTTACCTCTGAGGCGTCCTACCATGCTCCCTACGACCACTGCAGCGTCGAGTTCCTTCTTCAGGCCGGCTGCAGCAAGACGGAGCACCTCGAGCTCGGCGAGGCCGGCTTCCACGGCAACGGCCACATGTTCTTCATGGAGAAGAACAGCTACGAGATCCAGAAGACGCTTCGTGATTGGATCCAGGCCTTGTAAGTCTCTGACGATGCTGTCAAAGCGGGCCGGTGGATGTGGAGGAAGAAGAAGATAATTGAGTGATGTGCTCACGTGTGCGTTTTGTACGAACAGAAGCGGATACCCATAGACGATGAATATCATAATCTGGTAATGACACGCACTCGGTAGTCTCGTCGCCTTCCAGTCTCCTCATGCGATCGTCGAGGTTGGTTCGGATTACCGTTGTGACATCCGGAGAGATCTGCCCTCAACCTGTAGCCACGTGCCAGTTGATCCCAGTGTCGGCCGAGTCAGCCTCCATGTCCGAGCGCAACAATGTTTGACACGTTGACGTGAGTTGGAATGTGACTTGAGCTATATCTTGACAGCCTGGTTGAAGAAATGATCGTCGCTGGCAGGGGAGGGACTTGTCAATATTGCTTCCGTCCCCTCCCGTTGAGTCGTTGACGCCATGTCGTGTTTGTCCCCAGCGGGCCCAGCGGGAGGTGGGAGACGAGTCGCTTACACGGACCCAGATCTCAGAAAGGCAAACAGCCACAGACTAAACCTCGGATTTTGACTTACACTTCTCTTAGCTCATCTCTGCACCTGTGCCTCACAGACTCTGCGCTTGGGGCATCATGCTAAGCTATGGCATCGCCAAACATCGCAGCTGCACCTCAATGATGTTTCGACTACTGCAGCTCACCTCTGTAACAGACACCAGCACGGTTGCTGAAAGGTGCTGGTCCTTTGGTTTAAAATGTAGCTACTTGCCAAGCTAGAAGCTAGAAGCCTTCTAGTTTCTTGGGTCAATGACAGACTGCTTTCGCCCATGTTGAGGACTAGCAAAAATGGCGACTACAACCAGTGTTATCGCGACCAAGGGAGCGAGTGATGGAATGCCGGATTCGGGTCACTACACGATTGTTCGTAAAACGAGTACGTTCAATTCGCACTATGAGAGGATGCTCAGAGCTAATGCTTACTAGCAAACCTTGACCGCATGTTCTACGTCTACCATCGCCTCGGAATCCAATCCAATGTTCTAGTCGCAGCTCGCTATGCCTCAGCCCAACAGAGCAGGCAGCGTCTAATCCTATCCGACGACGCAGTATTCTCAGCTCTCCACGCCGTTGTCACCAAGTTCCCCGAGCTCGGCCTCGTTGGAGTCGTAGGGCCAGCCGCTGAGGAGGGCAAGCATCTCCTGTCTCTCGCAACACTCAACGAGATTAATCTCGAGCGCTGCGTCGAGTTCATCAACGATGAGACCACCCAAGTCGACGCCGGCTTTTTGCAAAAGCTCCACGGGACATGGCACTGGGCTGATGGTGCGGTCGAGGCCGGAGTCCCCTGGTGGAAAATCATCGTCGTCGGACGCCGAGACGTCGTCTTCGTCTACCACCACCTCGTCTGCGACGGCGCGTTCGGCATGACATTCCACCGCGAACTTCTGGATGCCCTCAACGCATCAGCCGTCTCCGACACGGGCTCCGCGCCCTCTCGCATCATCAAACTCGATCCTGACAGGGTACGACTGAGCATGGCCCTCGAGAACACTATCCACAAGAAACCGGCGGTCTTGGGCGTCATCTACAACCTCCTCGTCTTTCTATTTTATAGGTTCTTCTACGCCAAGAAGCTCTTCTTCGTCAACTTCCCCAAGCCGAAGGAGCTGCTCAAGGACCCGATGGCCGTCGCTGGACCCGCGGATCGTACCGTCACAAAGGTAACCACTCACCGTATCCCCTCTGACAAGATGGACGCCATCATCAAATCGTGCCGCGCGCATGACACAACTTTTACGCCGTTCCTGGCTGTTGTAGTCGCCGGCACCCTCGCAGCAGACTTCTATCCCCACGCCGAAGTCGGGTTTACCAGGTACGCCGTGGATATGCGCGCCACGGGCTGCTTCGACACAGCTTCTCCGGACGAGGGCAAACTGCTCAACCTGGCTGCAAGTCTTCCCGAGCCGGAGAAACTGAGAAAGTATCGCCAGGCTTTCTCGGCATCATCCTCTGTCGGCGACAAGCAAAAGGGACTCACCGCGACTGTCGACTCCAAAGCAGCCTGGGACCTTGTTCGGGACTACGGCAGACGAATGGTGGAGTCCCGAAGCGGCGGAGACGAATCTCACCTCTACAAGGCCTGGATCAGCGGCAATGCTCTGGGACCAAGCCTCGAGGAGTTTGCGGAGAAGTTGCCGTCGATGGGACTCTTCATGCAGAACAGCTTTTCGGTCTCCAATGTTGGGTGCCTCAAGACCGCGCCTCCGTCTTCGAATGTTGAAGAGCCTGTGGTGAAGATTGAGGATGTGCAGTTCTCGGCCGGCCCGGTACAAGGCGCCGTCGGTTACCATGGTATTGTGTTTAATGTGGCGGGAGTTGCGGGCGGCGACACTGTCATCAATGCTTGCACCGAGGGAGGGATGGCGCCGGAAGGTATGGTTGAAGCTGTGTTGGATGGCGTCATGGCTAGAGTCAACGCCTTGTTGCAGGAAGAGGGTGCTCCAAAGGATAGCACTGGCCGCAAGGGGTTTTGGCATGCCTTTGGTTGAGTCAAGAGTAATCGTATTGATCCACAAGATGCAACGGATACCAACTGCGAAGAACCATGTTGACGGTCATGATCAATTGATCAAAAATATCTTGCTTTCAGGATCACTCCTATGCTTTATCGAATATGATCTCCCATAAGAAACAAGCTTCAATATCTGCCGGGTCTACTAGAGAGATGTGGATCTGTATATGCATGGCATCGTCGCTAGGGTAGTGTGTTTAGACAGACGTCGATTTCAGATGACTGGTTGGAGTTTGCCAGGTACTTGACCAAGTAGTACAGAGTGCTCAATAGTCAATATCGTTGGTTACTTGGTTTGACCTCAAACCGAGTTGACGTGAACACTGGACCCAATCTTAACTCTTTTCCAGTCAACTTAGTCTGCCATTGGATGTCGTAATTGAGGCCATTCATGAGTTGCTATTACAGAACTGAGCTGGTTAGGGACTTGAGTTCCTAGTTGGACGGGCGGCAATTTTTATAGATTTGGTATTGACACATCGCATCGATATTGCATCTTAATTCAGGACTATAGAAATCAAAGCAAATGACAAACCCCGCCCAATGTTGCACGGAATTCACACTGAAGGTATGTACAGCGACGAATTGTCTTGTCCTATGCCTCAAGTAAACTCTGATAGAACGGATAGGCGACATACTGTCTCATTGGAAACGCTTGTGGGTTCAACATTAGACCACTACAATCAATCTTCAAAGTCAATAGGAAGAGATTCAATATTATAATCTAGTAAAACCTGTCGATCAACAGCATCACGGAGACAAGAACCCTATTTCAAAGCTGACTTACCGCCAAGGGACACATCACGGCCCAGACCAATCCCATCGGGGACCCGTCACCAATTCAGTCCACAAGAACCCACCCAAAGTGTGGTCAGCCGCCGCAGCCGACCCCCATGCCAAATCCAGCTGTGTTACCCGAGAAGACGCAATCTAAATCTCGCACATTGGCATTCTGCATCACAAACCAACACGAAAAACTCATCAACTTTCCATCTCCGGCAGGTCGAAGCATCGAGAATAATCACAGACAGGTACGACGACGAAAAAGCACCAACGAGCCGGTCCCAATAAACCGGGATACGGATCCTCGAGAATGGGTCGGCTCGTTCGTATCCACCATATCTGAGGTATTTGCTTGGCTGCACACTGGGCCCCCTTCGCAATCACAACGCTTACGCAGGAGTTAGCCACGAGAGCCTGGTTCCAACAAGAACGGGGGCCGCATGTGGGATATCCGTAACTGTACTCCGTACATCTGCACTTCCGCAACCTGCAGCGGAGCCTGCTGCCTGCATGTTTGCTTGTCTTCCCAACTGTTTAGCTACTTGAAGAGGCGCAGACATGCTTGAAGACGCCGGGAGCCTTGCGTGCTTTGCTCGCCACGGGATGTTTGCCTCTAAGCGCCCCCAGAAACCCGGTCGGAATACCCGTCGAATCGAGGCCTTGTCGTCGCGACGAACCGGGAAAGCGGGAACATGGGTAGTTAGTGGGTTTTGAGAGTTGTTTGCTTGCTGTGCCGTTGTGATGCATATCGCAAAAGTGATTGTTGGAACCGGGGGTTGGAGGGTTTTTGGTGATATTGTGGACTGCAGTCACGATTGTTCCTGGCGAAGAGAACCGAGAGACTATTGAGAGCCACCTCGCTTGGCGGGCACGCAGTGTGCTGCATGACGGAGCTTTGTGGGCAAACAAGTTTGGTATTAAAACGGTCGTCAGCGTCGTCGATAAGGTACTTTTTCTAAAGCTCGTTAATCTGTAGCTTTGACATTCTTCAGCAACTTGAGTTCTCGCCGACTTTCTTTCCAGCGGATACTGTATATATACTTGCAGCGATGGCGACCGCGGACGCGTTGATTGCAAGTCTTCAGGACATCAACGAGGAGAGCTTTACAGATAAGGCTGAGAGGATACGAGCCAGAGATGCGCTGTATGATGCGTTGAGAAAAGTTCAGACGCCGTGGGATATCGCGTGGGATCACATCGTGGTCAAAGGCGGCGGGAACGCGGCGATCAAGACGCTCATCGACGCTGGCGTATTCAAAAAGTGGCACGAGGCTGGTGGTGAACCCATCACCTGTACCGAGCTCTCAAAGCTGACTGGCGCCGATGAGCACCTCATCCGTACGTCGAGGGCCATCCAAAACCCTGTCCATCTATGAGACAGCAGAGACTGACTCGAGAAAAACAGGCCGCATGATGAGGGCAATAGCAGGCCAACGCCTCGTCATAGAAACCGACCTTGACACCTACGCCCGCACGCCCTGGGCCCAGGCCCTCGGCGAGGACGCGCCGCTGCCGGCCATGTACGGCGGCTTCTACGGCGAGCTGACGAATCCCATGTTCCGTTCGCTGCCGTACTACCTCAAGCAGAACGGGTACCGGAACCCGACGGACAAGAACGACTGCAACTTCCAGCACTGGCGCGGGCCCGACGCCGTCTTCTTCAAGTACGTCGGCACGAACCCGCTGCTCACGTCCGACTTCAACGACGTCATGGAGTGCCATTCGCGGGATAACCTCACGGCGTGGACTGAGGTGTATCCAACGGAGAAGATTATCGAGGGTGCGATCCCGGAGAGGCCGTTGGTCGTTGATATCGGTGGCGGAAACGGTCACGATCTGAGGAAGTTTCACGTTCGGCACCCGCAGGTTCCCGCGCGGCATCTGATTCTGCAAGATTTGCCTGATTTCCTAAAGGACGTCAAGTCCGATTCCGCCTTCACGATTCAGGCGCACGACTTCTTCACGCCGCAGCCGCTGCGCGGGGCGAGGGCGTACTTTTTGCACAACGTGCTGCACGACTGGCCTGATGCCACTGCGGTGGATGTTCTCAAGAATATTGCGAGCGCCATGGAGAGGGGATACTCGAGGCTACTGATCCATGAGAGCTTGATCAGCGAGCGGGCGCCGCTTTCCAAGGTGACGGCGACGGATATGATTATGATGGCGGGGCTGGCGTCGGCGGAGAGGACAGAGGAGCAATGGCGGGAGTTGATTGCGGCGGCAGGACTGCGGGTTGTCAAGATTTGGAGGCCGGTGCAGGCCGTCGAGAGTGTTATCGAGACTGAGTTGGCTTGAAAAATGTTATGGAACATGCTCAGGATTTCTGGTTTGGATGGGAGTGTATTTTCTTGTTTGACGTATCTGTAAGGTTTAGCAAGCGTATGGGAGGCAGGTCTTTGATTGAATCGATGTTATGCTTGGTCGATGTTACATATATGCTTGGTCGAATATGGTAGCACTCAATCTTCTTTGAATTTTGTGATTGATTCTGGCGATTCGAAGGTCTTCGAAACGTGAGCGGCCGAAGTGTTGCTAGACACTGCTACTCCAAAGTCGCAGAAAAGGCAGCTCAAAAGTTGGCCAGGTCTTGTTGAGATGCAAAGACATCTAAAGCTGTTGGTTTGGCATGTAAGTCACTACCTTTGGCTGTACGCTGTACCCGCCCCCAGCAATGCGTCAGGTGTCTGGCCCAGGGATGAATAACTTTGAAATATCATTGGTGATGTGTATGCTTGTGGGCAGCTCGACGGCATGGCCCCTCTTGGTATCCTTTTATACGCCCTTGGTTGGCTTTCTTTTGCCAAACAGCCCCGTCTGTCTATCCTCCTCGCCCCTCGTCGTCGTCACCTTCTCGTGTTGCTCGTATGCTAAAGTCTCTCCGGTTTACTGGCGCGCAGCGAGGGCCTCGGCCGCGTGGCGGTCGTGCTCGGCAATATCGATGGCCTCCCAGGGATAGTTGATCCAGACGTCGCCAACGGTGCGCGCGGCGAGGTAGTGACCTGAGGTCATCATCTCAGAGGGAAGAGTGCCCTTCTTCGCCTTGTCCTTGTTCTATTTTTGGGTATCGTCAGTACGTTTAATTCCCTGCGAGATGTGCGTTTGGTTTGAGGCTATGACTCACGTGGAGGACAAAGATGCCAAACTCAGTCTTCTGGCCCTTGCCGAGGCGCTGGCTAGCAGCCTCGACGTCCTTCTCCAGCTCCTTGACGGCGTACTCGAGGGTGGTGCGGGTGTCGTCGACCTCGTCGACAATCAAGATGCGCTTGCCGACGAGGTTCTCCATCTCGCCGATAGCGGTCAGGTCAAGCCATTGCGTGCGGGTAACCTTTGTGCCAGGGACCTCGGGGACGCCCGGGGTAGAGTTGCCGCCAAAAGTCTCGGGAAGGCTCTCGTACAGGGAGAGGCCGATGGCCTGGATGGGGATGTTGGGGTTGCCGGGCTTCTTCAGGAAGGAACGGAGGATACGGGCAGGAACGTAGCCACCGCCGCCGATTGCGATGATGAGCTGGGGCTGGAAGGTCTCGAGGATCTTGACGGCGGACTCCTGGCAGAGGTTGTGCACCTGGAGAAAGAAGAAGAGTTGTTAGCCCATATTTTGCGACACCTTGCACGAACACGGAGACTATTGGAATAAGAAAGCAATAGCGCTAGGGGTCGGAAGAATCAAGGGAAAACATACATCGTTGTACGTGACGTAGAGCTTCTCAACCATTTTTGCGGTGTTTGGAGGGGTTCTTTGACTCGAATTCGGTCGGTGGACGGGGTGTACTGCGGGGTAGGAGGGATGCTGCAGAGTTGGAGATGTCTCTGACGTCTGGTATTTGAGAGGATGTATAGAAGAGGAAAGAGAAGGAAACAGGAAAGATGGATCGTATATATGTCGGGGGGAAGGAAATATACAGAAGAGTGAGTTTAAAGTGGAAAAGAAGCTTAAGTAGGGAAGAATGGGTACCAAAGGTTTCTGCCAGTAGAGAGAGAGAGTGCCGCTATTCACACGCGAGACGAGGACGGAAGGAAAAAAAAAAAAAAAGATGCGCGCCAGGCCACCAGGACCCCTCCATCCATCGTCCGTCGCCCTTCGATGAGCAAAGGGGACCCCGCCATCCAAACATGGATGGATGGGCCATGGCGGCGGGCACTTGGGAGAGAAATTTTGTCTGGCGAGCCCCGAGCCCCGCGATGACCAGCGGGTTGCCTTAGACCCACTCTGGCATGGATCTGGCTGCTGCGCCCCGGATGCCAGACATCCGACTGCGGCTTGTGAATGGCTTCTGACCGAGAAAGTCTCACCGAGGCTTCGGAGCCCGCCGTCGTTCTCGGTGAAGGAACCCACATCCGGTGTTTATTTACCAATGAAATCGGCGTGACTCTTAAACGGCAGGGATCAAGTGTTGTGCTCCTTCCAAGGTTCCTTCCCGTCCCAAGTGAGGAAAGATCTTGTTGCTGAATTTTCATCCCCTGCCACCTGCCACCTGCGGCCTGCCATTGAAGATTTCACGATAATTTCTAGGCTCAAGAAACACGCTGTAACTGTCGCCGCGTTGAGCTATTGCGCAGTCAGCATCGAGTCATGAAATGACGAGAGTCTTTCCATTGTTCTACTTCAGTGTACATTTATGGATGTGGAGAGCATTGAATGTGATGACATGCCAACTTGGCCCCACCCCCTTCCAACCCTGGCCGTGTGAGCCGATGGGAACGTTTGCCGCTACTTTTGCTCTCAACTTCCAATCCTTCTCTCCCGTCGGAACGAGTAGCTTGTCAGTATTGACGTGTATAAGTTGGGTCATGGACGACCTCACATTACTATTTCAGAGCTGGTCTTGAGGAACAATTGGGCGCAACATGGCATATCTTGCTTGGCATTGACTGTGTCCTCTCTCTTGATAACTTTGGGTATCCCTTCGCCATAGCTCGTCAATCCCAATCAACCTCGTGTCTTCGTAAACGCAGAAATCATCCTCCCAAAAGACATAGCTCAAGACGAAGCCTGGCACAAACATAACCTAAAGCGTCTTGAGACGCGCGACCAAAACCTCCATGAGCAACTTCCTCAACTCCTGATCCCGATATGATCCCTCCGGAGCAATGTCCTCCTTCCACTGAATGATAGCCTCGCTGACAATCAAGTATGCCGCCCAGAACGCGTCAAAAATACCAGGGCCAACGCCAGGTCGCGGGAAGAACCGCTCGTTCTCCTAGATGTATCCAGCCGGATCTCCCATGAAGCCGTCGTCGTTCCCATTGGTTGCCAAATCGTCCATGTTTCCCAATCCGCAAACCCAGAGCTGCGGCTTGTCCTGCATAGGATCGTACGCCAGCCGGAATTTGACGTTACGGGCGTCCTTCTGTAGATCGTGGTGAATAATGGCGAGCGCGGTACCCATCTTGCGCGCGAGCTCGAGGACGCCGGGGCGACCGATGAACTTGAGGAGCTGGTCGAGGTAGGCTGGTCGCGTAGCAAGGTTCGGGTGTTCTTTGAGCATCTCTCTGACCTCGGGGGGCTGCACCAAGCCAAGCCAGATCTTCGGATGGAGGTTGTAATTCTCTGGCATCATAAGGGCCTCTTTCTGGAAGTCGCGGCCGACGGTACGGTCGATGATAATGCGGATGATGGTCGGCTTGATGGGTCGCATTCTCTGCATCACGAGTCTGCCCTGCATTTCGGGAAACGGCTCGATGAGCTGATCGGGAAGGTGGCTGGAGCCGTCCATGCCTTTGATGAGCTTGAATTGGCGCGGCGCGGCCGGGAGTACGAGGCGCGAGAGGTAGGGGTGGTCGTCTCCTAGGATCTCTTGGACTTGCTCGTGGAGCGCGTTGGACCAGTGGCTGAGGAGCGTGGCAAATTCGTCGGCGGCGAAAAATCCCTCGCTCAACTTCTGGTAGGAGGATCGCTCCTTGAGAGCCTTGCCATCCTTCAGCATGTAGACCTGCGTCTCCCACGCCCTCGAGTGGTAGATGAGGCGGAGTCGGGCCGAGTGAGCGGGAGGAGAAGGCGGGCGAGTCCTCTCGTGGGGGAGGAGCAGGTCCTCCGGCGGATCGAGGTTTTCGTCCTCGTCTTCGTCGTAGTCGTCATCCGACGAGGAGGAGGCATCTTCCCAATCCTCCTCCTCGCGGATGACTGGCATTGGAGCGATTGTGCCTTTGGATGCCATCTTTGGTGGTGAGATGGTTACTTTGGAAAGAAGGAAAAGAGGGAAGAGGATGGGTACCTTTAAATGCGACCATTGGCACTCTCAGGTGCTTAGTCGTCACAATCCGCATTAATTCCACGCGTTTGAGAAGCCCTAATGAGGTCGGCTTTGATAAATCCGGCAGGCAGGGCGAAGGCCAGCTTGTAGACTGGAAGTTGAAGTTTTGCAGGCCTGCGCTGGAGGCTAATAAAAGCAGGAACCCTCTCTTGTCACTTTCCGTGACTAAGTCGTTCGTATTCGAAACACTGTATCGAATACGGAAACGACAATGAGCAATGATAAAAAGCAACGATAATGACATGGAGTAACGACAGTGATAAGAACTTGAGGAGAAAAGCCAAAAAGAATAACGAGCAACGACTGTGATAGAGTCTTTCAGGGTAAGGTATTCAAATACCCTGCGAATCTTCTGTGTTGATAATGGGCAGCGACCACACGGGTCTGCGATGATCTCCAGGAGCGAGTGACCACTACAAGGACCGTGAATGCTGCTCAAATCCTGTTGAGAGGCCAGGACTTAATCCTTTCATAGTGCGCATATGTGAGAACGCAAGAAAGCAGTCTGAAGTGTGAGTTGAAGAAGCCAAGTATCAAAATGAGACGAAACGTAAAAAGAAAGAACGGGACGGCATGGGGATGAAAAACGATGTAAACCAAAGAGGTCAGGGCAAGAACGACCAGGTGATATCTGACACCCAGAGTTCTACTCAGACAGTCCGTAAAGATTATGGCCATTGCGAAGAGGTATTTCGTCCCTCAACTATGAGATGTGACAAAGCAACCTATATGGCAGTTGTTTACCTTTGATGCTCTCTTCCCGAATTCCAGTTTCTCTTCTTAAGACACCGCTTCAACTAAGCTAGGAACTGACAGATGCTAAGGGGTGAATGTGGTGGTTCCTTTGCGAATGAGTATCTCGACACCACAGCTTTCAGATTCTAGTGCGATCGTGGTATTGTGTATTGTAACAAATGTCTATGGATGACGCTGATGATGGATTTTTAGGACGATTGCCTCCGACGCAGGCTATGAGACGAAAAAGAAGAAAGTAGAAAGGACCGAAAGACCAAGTTCCGTGGGCCTCAGCCTCCAGTTGTACCCTCTTTTTCATGTACAGCTTTCAGCTTCTTCTCTGTCTTCATGAACTCTCGGATGCCTACTGGGACGTCGTCATAGAGTTTCTCGTCCCACATATTCTTCGCAATCTTGGGATCCTGCGGCACCCAATTGGTGTCTGAACCGCCGCCATCGTCATCCATGGTATTCGAATCCACTGCCCCTTGCTGCTCCTTCAACTTCAACTGTGCCTCCGCATTCGCCGCCGACCAGTCTTCCATTTCCTCTCTGTACCGTTCCCACACGCAATTGACGCAGCCGCTCATGCAACAATTATCCGGCTCTTCCGGTCGCGGGGGAATTGTCACCCCCGCTATCGTCGTGCTCTTGGAACGCAGCTCCTCGAGACGCTTCTGGCGCGCGGCAGGGCCGGCCAGGGCGGAGCCGAAGACAATAGCGGCCTTTTCAGCCGCGGTTTGCGGCGGCGGCGTCGGCACCGGCTGTGCGGATAGAGCTTCAGCAACGGGTTCGGTGGTTTGGGTTGGATTTGGGCTTGGGCTTGGGGAGGGAGGCGACGTCTTACGGCCTTGCTCCTGCTTGTGGACGGAGGAGTTTGGGGGCTCCTCGGGCTTCACATCGGGGATGGGTTGGGGGTCGTTGAGGATCGCATCGTAGTATGCGCCCAGCGGGTGGGCTTGAGTCTGGGAGGGCTCGATGGGTGCCGGGCCGGTTTGCGACTGGCTCGTGATGAAGGCACCTCGGGGCACACGGGCGATGCGCGGCACGAGAGGCCGGAGGCGGGGGAGGAATCTGGCGGGTGCTGACATATTGGGTGTGCTCCGTTGGTAAGTCCAATTCTAGGTGGGTTGAAGCTTGGAGATGGGCATTGTCGGGGTTGAGTGAGGCCGGCCTGCTGTCACTGCAGAGGCGAGAGAGACCAGGGCGATTGGAATGCGGTCATCAAAGCCTCGGACGTCATCGGTCGCAATTCGTTGCTTAGGTAAGGTGGGAAGAAGTACCGTCACGTGCTCTCGCGTCTGCACTCTGTGCTCCGTACCTGCCCATGTGAGGTCGGGCAGGAAGGAACTTTCAGTAGAAATCCAATCGACTTCATTTGAAAGTATTAAAAGAACAAGGATTTATCGCGGAATTTATACCAAACTGAGAAGCAAGCAAATGAAAAAGAATTAATAAATGTGGTTGAGATTGAGTAAGATTTGGGAGATGCCTGCACTTAGACACAGGCTCATGGAGCTATAAGAGAACCTCCCCTGTTTACCTCCCAAGGTCCGCCCAATCAGGAAAGCGGTGGGGTCGCATGTACACAACGCGCCCGCTGTGTACCCGCTCGACGAGACCATCGCGTATCTTGCCAAGGTCGACAATCAGCACCGCAAATCGACCCTGAGTTGCCAGCTCGGCCCTGAAATGTTTCAATAAAGCCCAATACAGCCATTGAACATGGAAGAGTCCGCGCCGAAGCGGCGACGGGTTTCTCCCCGCCTCAGCAGAGAGCGCGACGAAGACAATAACGAATCGACCACTCCGCCAGACCCTCCCCCACCACGATCGCGAATACCCAGGAGACCCTCCTTCGCGTCGCCAACTAGAGCAAGCCTTTCCCGAACGAACCCCGATATCCTACGAAGAAGAAGTCGAAGTCTGAGCCCGTCAAAGGCGCGTTCCAACAACCCATCAACGCAGCCTACCACCCAAGATGTTGCTGGCGAGGGTCCAGCCGCCCAACCCGAGAGCCAAGCAGAGCGATTCCTAGAGAGAGGGCCTGCGCGCCCACGAAGTAACATGTCGGGATCAACTGCGGTTGAATCAACCAACCTGGGCTCCCCCGCGCGGAGGATGGCTCTTGAATCGCGAGTCAGCGGAGCTCTGGCGTCTAGGCCACGCCGATCTGGTGGCATACCCGTTCCGAGACCACTTCCTGAACCCGGACCCAACGACGATGAGGACTTCAACCCTTTTGCTGGACGCGTCTTGAATCGCACACCCCCTCGCCATGGCGCCAGTATTGGAAGAGCTCCTCCCCGCCAGCCCGAACCTGAGCCTGAACTCGATCAGGAGCCCGAACTTCCGCCTACGCCCACGCAAAGAGGCCAAGCTGACCCCGTCGTCACGACACCTCCTCGCGGCATCCACGATACGCCCTCGAAGAAGAAGCGGCGGAATGCTTCACCGTCTAAGAGCTCGCCACTGAAGCAGCCGCCTCTTCGACCACCCGAGTTGTCTCAAAAAGCGCAGGAGCCCTCCAAGAAGGCCATGGCACGGGCTGCCCGAGAGACGAGCCCGACTCAGAAGGCAAAGCAGACAAGATCAACAACAGGTCCTTCAGGGACACACGAGGCGCGTGGGATACCAGTGCCTGATCCCTACTCGGAGCTCAGGGAGACGAGAGACGCGCTTCAGGCGGAACTCGCCAAGTTGGAAGCCGACCTGGAACTTGCAACCGATGAAAACGAGCGTATACGTAAGGCGCAGGCTCGTCGATCCGGCGATGTGCAGCCTTTGGGACGCTCTCGTCAGAACCAGCTCCTCGACTTGCTCCGCCGTCACCTCGTACCACCTGAAAAGGAAGCCAAGCCGGATGTTGCGCAAGGATGGTTCGACATGGCCATGAATCCAACATCATGGCTTTCGTTTGGATCTCTAGGGCACGCTCAGCTTCCAATACCGAAGGAAGAACCCGAGGAATTGCCCACTCCGACTTCGCACCACCCAATACAGATGACGGCCGTCGATGAGCTGCCATACCTTCAAGCCTTTACCCCTTTTGAATTTTCGGCGTCGACGAATATGCTGCCGAAGGAAACCGACTCCGATCCTCTACTTCGGAAACACAATATCGTCATTAGATCGGCTCATCCAGCGGGTTTGTTTATGGCCAAGATGGAGATGACTGTCGACACGGAGAACCTTCAAATCAAAGAGCTTGCAGTACCCCGTCTAGACCCTGCGGCTGTCGCGGAACTCGGCCCATTTGTTGAAAAGGTCACAAACGGAGGCTCCAACACTCACATGAACCGGAACGTCAGCGTGGTGACCTGGGCCATGTCCGAGTGGTATAGAGTCGCCGTCGAGAGAGCAAACGTTTGGCACACCCTCGACACCGAACTTGGCGACAAAGAGAAGCTGGCGCAGAGCGTGGCGAGAATACGGACACGACGGAAGAAGCGAAGGAGAAAGGATGACGATGATGAAAACAGTCAAGATGCAGATGGTGCCACCGAGAGGGATCGGACCGAAAACCTGCCTCGTTCAGTACTGCTGCCTCATCTCGGGAGAACAGCCTACGAGATTCCGATACCGGGTGCCGTGAAAGAAGAAACGTCGTGTTTGAGATTACAATGGCGGATTGATTTTGACTGGACGGGCGAGGCGCAAAGTAAGATTGGGCTGGCGATTGGCATGCCCGGCAAATGTGAGTACCCTAACGATGTCCTACGTGACGGTATTTGACTAACATCAACAAGGGCATTTAGGTGACGAGCGCAATTCACTGGCGGCAGCATCCAAGGTTTTTGAAAGATTTGTTCAGGGTAATGAGGGACCGATGACGGCGGTACGAACTGTTGTTGCATTGTTGGCGGGAGACGCGCTGTCTTGAAAGGATACCTGGTTCTACGGAGTGCTGATTACTGCAACAATAGCTTCATGCATCAAGGTAGATGGACACATTATGCAACCCCAATGGAAAGTTGTTTCCATCATCTATGGACCTCGTGCGTTCTCGTAACTTCAGTCTCGACCTTCACTTGGGCCCGTCAAGTAGGGAAAGGTACGTAGTGTGCGTATGTCGATCATCGATGTATTTTACGCAAGCAAAAGGAAGGACGGCTTCTCCTCCTATTTATAGGGAAGGAGTTGGGGCGGAAAAAAAGAGTCCCCCTCCTCCGCCCCCCCTCCAGGTGCCGATCTTGGGGCTACATCGCTTGGTGCTCATGTTGGGACTCGAACTTGGAATCTCGGTAGCCTGTCGTCGAATAGGCTGTAGGCGTAATTGATTGTTGGCCATAAACCACTCCACCGCCCAGCCAGTTTGACCCGACCCGTCGACGTAGACGGGCGCCTGTCGGCTGGTGATAGGATTGGAGTTGAGGGGGTCTATATGGGCTTCGTTGGTGGTGTATTCAGTTGGCTGGGTGAATACACGAATCAGGAGAGCAATACTTTTACGCAAGGTAAGCTGTTTATGTTTATGGATTTACTTTTATTCGGCTAGACTGTCTATGGTCTCGCAAAGTAGCCTGCCTGCTAATGCGAACCATCTGCTGGAAGGAGTCGTTGATTTTACCCCTTTTCTATATCACTAATAAGAACCCCGTCTTAGGCTCTCGGACCCAAGCAGGAGAAGCTCATGCCGTTACTAAGGTCTAGTGGGAGGGACCACCCCGGCCGCCGCCAACACCACCGCCACCGCCACCGCGGCCGTATGGTCCATAGGGACCATCTCCTCCACCGTATCCGCCACCACCTCCACGGCCCTGGCCATTGGGACTACGGGTAGGGCTACCATTAGAGCTCTCATCATCGGAGCGATAACCGTTGGTATAGCCGTTGGTCATACCGTTCTGGTTAGGAGAACCACCACCACCCCGTCCATAGCCGCCCGGCACACCAAATGGAGCCGCGGGACTGTTGCGGTACGCATCGCTGGCACGGGGACCTCGACCGGCGGCACCAGACATGAATGCTGATCCGCCGCCATCCGAGGGGCCACCCCTAGCGTAGCCTGCGCCGTTCAGATTAGGGCCAGGAGAGCCCCGGCCAATACCAGCGTGGGTGAACGGCGGACTACGAGGAGCAGGACGCATCGGAGTCAAGGGGTTCTGCTGTCTGTTCCCGTTGGTCCCGTTCATGCCGTTGTGGGAGGTGCGAAAGGGGATGTTAGTTGAGCCACCGTTGATACTAGGACCGCCGCCGTGGGTCGGCCCAGAGAAGCCTGCGCCGTTGTTGGCGTTGCCGGTAAAAGCTGCGTTGTTGCGGGCGGCGTTCTGGTTCATGTGCCAGTATGCGTCTAGGACGGAGAAGCCGTTCATGTTTCCTGGGGAGAGACGGCGTGGGGGTGTGTCCCCGTTGTTGGAGCTGCGGCCGCTTCTGGACATTGTGTTGAGTTCTAGGGTTGTGGTTTGTGGTCTTGATGGCTGATGTTGTGTATTCCTTTTTGCTTGTGATGCTTTGTTTGCTTGGAAAATCTGTAACGTTCTTGGTGATGATTTTAAGAGGGAGGAAGGAGTCGGTTCTATTGCTTTAAGATTGTTTATATAGAGGCTCAAAGACATTGAAGTGAATCGATGCTGGCGGTCCTTGAAAAGTGAGTTAAGAGTTCGTGATGCGGTGGTTTTCCCATAAGAGTGAAGACTTCTCATGTCGGACGAAATTTCCACCCGCCATTCACTGTGCTACTCGAGTAGGTACTCTCGCATCGTAGAAAAATGAATAGTCTCTTTATTGGATACAGACGCCCATGATTCTTCTGCACTCTCTGTAATCACTGAGATATCTTCAAGACACCATAATGGGACAGGTTTACACCAGTCAAGTGACTCTGTAATGGCAAGGAGTAGTTGAGATTTCAAGGCTGGTTATTCGGAGTAGACTCAACAGAGTCGAGGAACTTGGCCCAATACCTGTGGTTCTTACCGCTTCATCAATAAGTAGGATATAAAAATGAGTAGTAGATAAAACCGCAAATATCATTTTAGCTTCTGATAGAGCAAATGTGTGCGCCCATTCAGTGTTAGACATACACTCTTCAGCGCTCTGGATAAGCCAAAAATGCAATACGCATTCCACGTTAATACCTCCAATTCAAGATTGGAGAGTTGACGGTACGGTTGATACGGAGCCTTTGACTGCAGGATGGGTACATGTTTTCAATGACACCACCGTCGTTACTAAAGGTTTCGTACCCGGGAAGGGTCACAAATGTAATCAGACCGAGTGATCGGCCAAAGGCTGATGGTTTCTCAACTGTAAGTCGTCTCGCCGCTTCTATTTGTCGTTTTGATATTCTTAGGGAGTGAAGTTAGGTAGGTCAAAGCGAATATACTCTGCATTGGCAAGCGGTACAAAGCCCATACGAGAATGCTTGGAACCTCAACCAACTGATGCTGAGCAAGAGGACCAGCAGGCCAACTCTGGAAGCCAGGGCTTCTACTGAGCGCTTTCACCCCCATTGCAAGATTGAGAATAACAGTGACGGTAATGTCAAATATAGTGACAGCACAAGTGTTCAAGTCGAGCTCGTAGTACTGGTTTCAACAGCTTGGGTTTCAGACCGCCGGCGAAGTCGGATTTGGACCAATGCCAACTGATGTGATGATTGAGCGCACCGAAGGCAACTTCTAGCTAGTTTCCAAGACCAGAATATGGATAAAGGCCACCAAACGCTGGATTGCATCACATTTCTGATTCCATGCTGGAATGCATTAACAATATAACTCCTTCAATAATAGCCAAATCTAAGCTACTACTGATGTGTGTATAGAAGCTAGGTGTTCTCCCGTCATGAAAGGGCAACTATGAGGCCGTTCCGACGTCTCAGGATTCGATACCGCAATGTAACGCTGACAAGCCATCCGCATCGTCGACGGCCTGGGCAGAAGTTTAACCGGCAAACCATCTGCGCCACTTTCGGCATTGTCGCTAATGAGTTTGTTGAGATCCCCGAGACTCTGGTTAGGGATAACCTTTGGATCGCTACCAGCCAGTGATCCCAACCAGGCCTCCAAGACGTCAACGCCCCGCTGAGGAATTTGTCGTACGGAAGCCTGCTCAGTCATCTCCAGCCATGAATCGTTGAACGGCATGGCCAGGCAGTATGGAATGTTGCTGCCGAAAAAGTTCATTGGCATCGGACGGAACATGCGTCGCCTCGATTCGGCAAGCTTCAAATACTCCAGAATCCAGGTCGCCTCGTTCAAGTTCTCTGCCACTTTGTTGGTATAGTTGGAAATCCGAATTTGATGCTCAATGAGAGGCTTCTCCAAGTTGCACAAGAACTCAGCCTCTGGCCATTCATCTTGAAGCTTCTCCAGGTCCCCTTCGTCGGCCATTCTCTTCCTGACAGCATCGATGAAGTTTTCCTCAAGACTATAACTGTACACGGATTCACCGGTCGTTGGGTCTGTAATTGGTGTATCCAAGAGTTGTGCCTCGACAGGGATGTACTGCATCAACTTGAGACGTCTCCAGGAATAAATAGGATTCCAAAAGTCAACCATCTGCAAGGCGTTGAAGGTTTCCTCAGAAAAGAGTTGACATCGTGCTGAGTCTTTGTCATTTCCCAAGAACATCTTCTGAGCAGCCCATACGCCATGCGCGTCATCCACAGAGCTTTGAAGGATAACCCAAGGATTATCCCCTTCGCCCCATTGCTGCACAGCGAAGTTGACTTGGGCCCCTCCACGAATATCTTCTTTGCCATTTTCGAGAGTTCCCATAAAGATACCACCGGCAAGGCTGTTCGCTGGAACAACAAGTTGTGCGTCTTGCACATTGGCTACCTCCTGTAAGGTGCAGAGCTTGAGTTCTCGTGAAGCCCAGAGATAAGACGGCCCGTCATACTTGAAAGATGAAATGGAGTACCTTCTAAACCATTGTTCTTGAGTCAGGTACTTCTTTTTGTCTGTTTTGAACTGTTTCTCGTTCCAGGCCGTCAATGCAGCTGGAGTCTCCTTGAGTATATGGGCAGCTAGCCATTGGTCGTCATGAAGACTTCGGTTGGGCTGCTATTGTTAGCAAGTACATTACAAAGGGATCCCTCTTTGCCGAGAAAGACTGGTAGTGGAATAAAAATAACTCACCAAAAGATCGCTGTATCCTCTGAGCATTTCATAACTGAAGAAGTGATCCGACGGTACAATGTTGGCATTGTTGGATGTAGCAGCAATGTTAATGTTGGTCGTCAGGAAAAAGTGCGCTGCCCAACGCTGGATGTTATCCGGGCATGCTTTAGTCCCGCCTTTCTCCGTCAAAAAGTCCTTGTTCCGCCGGCTGGTAAACCAGACTCTGACAGAGTCCAGCACTATTCTTTCGAAAGTCTCACCAGATTGCACACTTGCACCATAGAGAGGGGGGAATCCAGGATAAGTGAGCCATCTAGCCTCCGTAAGCTCTGAAATGAGCTCTTTATCAAGAAGATCCGTCACTCCTCGACCTCCAACAAGCCAGTGCATCCAAGGCCTATGACTGCGTCAGCAAACTCCTTGGTGTATATCAGCCCGATGATGACTTGCTTGTGGATCTCTTTCATGACGATTCCTCCATTGACATGACCATTTAAAGGACCCAGGTATGCTTTGCCTGGAGCATCAAAAGCATCCATCGAAGAGCAGAGATATACCCAGCCGTGCTGAGTTCGGGCTTCGTCATTCAAGATGCGCTGAGTTTTGGCTTCATCATTCATGATAAGATCGCGCTACCATCAACATCAACTTTGCACACTCAATAGAAAATGAAGTTCCACTTACAGCATAGTACCTGAATTGGCCATCATCACGCGACCAACTCATGATGTGGAGGATATCTTTTTCGGAGTGGATAGAAGAGGAGCTTAAATGTTAGCCGGAAAGACGACAAATTGTTGGCCCGTTTACTTACGCTGCTATGAGCACAAACCAGGGCGCCCACGAAACAGATCCAATTGGTGCCTTGCCATCTTTCTTATGGTTTGCATCAGTGGGAAAGATAACGGAGATGAAACGAAGCTCGGATCTGAACCAGGACTTCTGTTTGCTCCTTGGAACTGTTTGACCGTCTGCAACGGCGTAAGTCTGTAGGATTATGTTTGGATCCTCTGCTTATCGTTAGAATCAATCAGTCCTGACGAGAAAATTCCACTTACCCCAAAACTGGGTCATCAGCTCATTGTACGTGTTGTGCTCCCTGAACGCTTCATCAGTCTTTAAGCGTTTGCCCCAATAATCGATGAAGTCGTTATCGAGTTGTTCAGGCGTGGCGGGCGTGTCTTCATCAGGATACGGCTCTTTTGTCTGTGGCTTTATTCCACGAATGAACTTTCGATACCAGAGTTTCTGGCTGATATCTTCATAATTCCCGCGCTTAGGGTCAGTCATTGTGTCCTGTGTGAGTGATGGGACGATAGTAGCTGCAAAAGTGTGGCAAGGAGTGCTTGAAGATTTATGTTGAGTTCAAAACTCTGGATGTCTACCGGAACAGGATAAAAGACCGCGAGTAGCCAAGTGCATTGGTGAGACAGCTGATACACTGCAAGCAACCTCATCAAGCTTCATCACATCACGTCTCACTATAGAGGCAATTGAAGCCATCGATACAGATGTGCAGTGCCTTAAAAAACGCTAGTGTGTGATTCAAACATGCGGATGCCCTCTGAGCTGAATCTTTGTAACCAGTCTTATGTGCCCGATTAGCAAACGGGCCTTTTGTGGCTTGCTCTAGAGAGGCTGAATTCCATTTCCGTCAGAGGCTAGGCTCGGCCCATTCGTTAACTTATAGTTTATGATATGTGACCAAAACATCGGCGATACCCCGCACACACCAGACCATGGACCAGACATAACCTTCCCCAACATGGGTAAAGGCCTGTGACGACGTAAGCCTCTCTCTTGCACTATCAACTCTCGATGAGCGTTTGATTCGTCAACATACGCCATGGCATGATGAGACATATCAGATTCAACAACTGTGTCTCAATACGAGCTTGTGCGGTGAGAGAATGTGCGGCAGGCTAGGATCATAAGCCGTTCAATCTCAGCCAGCCTCAGAGCGGCCAGACTTGAAAATCTGGAACAAACGTATGCATGGTATATCACATAGCTCGGAACATTGTTTCCGGCCAGCTGTAGTACAATCATCACTTTCATAGTATTCAAGCATGTCCAGAAGACAGAGCAAAGGTATTTCCTCTGAGAAATGCAATTCATCCCGCAAGTTGACTTGGGCTTCTCACGTACTCCTTCCATCTTCATTTTTTGTCAGGTCTTCACCGAAATGTCTGGACTCGAAAAGCTCAAGAAATTTCATCCTCCTGCTTTCTTGGATGATTTTGAGGGTGAACAGCTTGAAAGATGGTCCAAGACTGTTGACGGCTGGTTCGGTGACGAGATAGCAGGCAGACTCGCAGGGAGGAAGATTCTTACTCAGTTCTTTAATCCTCTCCACTTTGCCTTCGACTCGTCTCTGCCTCCTGTACCCATCACTTGGGTTGGCTTCCCTCTGAATGCAAGTCATTTACCAGCCCTCTATGCACTCGTCTAAATAGTTTTCAGGTCAGAATCAAGCAGCCTACGGATGACGCTCGTTGGGCATACGCAGAGGATCCGGACAACCAGCGAGCTCCTCCAGGACGCTTGGATCCTGAGATTCTGAAGTTCCACAGGAAGAATGAACAGACGGGAGAGGATGAAGTTGTTGAGGTATCTCGACAAAGGGAGGATCGTTGGGTGATGGACGAATACTTGGAATGGTCTACCAAAAAGGTTGATGGAGATGTTCAGACTGTGAGCTTCACTTGCGAAGGTCCCGAGGTAAGTCGTAGCCAATTCTTCTTTACACGGACGATCTCGGGACTGACTGATGACTAGTACTGGGAAGAACTTGCCAAGTATAATCCCATTCTGACCGAAACTCCCATTAAGAACCCAGCAACCCAAGAGTATGAGAGGAACAACAAGATCCTCAACATTTACAAGAAGCTAAACCCCGATTTTGCACATGAAATTAAAGGAGATCACCTGGTGGACGATGAAGGCAACTACAACATCTATAACAGGTGGAATGGTCACACCAACACTGGCACCATTGCCCACCTCATCCAAATCAACAATAGTCTTAGTGCCGAGATTGACATCGCTGCGCAAGCCACTGTTACCAGAAGCGACTTGGTGTACGGTGAACCTATTACCAACATGCTTACCCTTTGCGGAGATGGATCTGCCTATGGTAATCCGAGCAGGAATTCTGACCCGACCGTAAGAGACTCTGTTGCTGTTCATTGAGAACTCTTCGAGACTAACTATTTGCAGATTGGTGCCGCAGTCAACGAAGTCTGTCGTCTGGCTCGCGATACAGTGTGTCCCATCCCTGTCACAATCTCTGTCAAAGATCCTGTCGCTCTGTACATGTACGACGCAGACTTCTCGTCCTTCCTATTGGATCGTACCGGCAAGCGAAGAGGAAACGTTCGAGAAATGGTCCAAGTTCCCGAAGGGGTCTTTGACTGGTGTGACCGTGGTGATATTACTAGGAACATGGGCCTTCATCTTCGCGTATCTATCCCAAAAGGTCTCAAGACTGATGACGATACCCGCGACCTTACCCTGAGCGATCTTTTTGACCAAAATAACGGTGGTCGCTATGTGCACTATGGAAGCCAATTTGCCGATTACATCTTCATGAGTGTTTCTGGCGTTGTTGGCCCGAAGCCAGAGCCTCAGAACGATGGAGAAGCATGGCCTGGAAAACCTCAGCCTGCGCTTACTTACACTGAGCCGTACCTCCAGAAGCCATTTATTGAGCCCAAGGTTTTGGGGGGCCCTGATCTCTTCAAGAAGATGGGAGAAGACGATGCTGATGAAACAACTTTTGATCGAAAGGGCGACTCGAGGGTTGAATTTAATGCGGTTGTCACAACTTCTGATCTAGAAGCAATGGACCTGAGGGTAGAAGCAAAGGATGGACCATCAGGCTACATGGGGATGCCAGAGCCCGGTCCTCCTAACGGACCGGACTATCAATCCATCACTCCGAAGGTCATTTATTAAGACAACGGGCAGGAAGCCGAGGAAAATTGCCAATTATTGGCTTTGACTGCACCCAAGCATTGAACCCTCAAATTTGTTCTTCTTCAAGCCTCCAATATGAAAATCCTTAAAAACTCGCCAATATTGATACTGACTTTTCCCTGACTGAAGCTGCATAAAAGCTGGTTGAATCAAGTGGCTCGTTGCTTTGGATTAGATGAACAGCTGAAGGTGCTGTATCTCCCATCACACTATCAGCTTACAAAGGAGATGTCTGCCATAGGCTGATGCGAAAGCCACTCATGGGAGCTGAACTGAACACAGCTATGTCCTCATGTCTCGTATTCAGCGAGCTGCATACTTTCAATAGTCACTCTGCGGATAGCTCAGCTACCTAGCTTAGCCCGACGCCACGTCAGACGCAACTGGAGATCTACGCTTCCAGCCCTTCAAGTAGCTGATAGAAGGTATGTCTCTCGGCGATTTATCGATGATGCAGAGTCCATAAAGTAACTGCAGAGGGCACTGTGATGCCAAGACGGGATTTCAGCTCGCCACTTATACTAACGGCAGCCATTCTGGCTTAGCTCGTAAGGTCCGTCTTATCTGTAAACGTTTACTTATGGAACAGAATAGTGGCAGACCTACTCGTCAAGGTGCATTCTTGGACCCCATGCTTTATATACGTTGAAACATCGAATGCTCGGGGTGCCATACTTCTTTCATCAAAAATTCATCCTTCATCGCTCAGCCTATAGCAATTTCAATTTTCTCCTTTAAGGAACATTCTAATTCTATCCAAATTTTCATACCTCAATCTCTGATAGGCAAACATGGCCACTCTAGAGTCCCCATTGTATATGGGAGACGTTCATAAGACACCCAACTGGGAGGACGACATTACTCCCCTGATCAAAGCGCCCTACTGGGTGACCAAGAATCCCGAGGTCATTGGTCAAAAGTGGATAAACGAAATGCTTTACTGGGGCAAATGGGACCTTTCCAAGTATGACGACGTCAGAAAGAGGGCGCTTGGTATCTACAGACATCTTCGCTCTAAGTCAATGCCCGTGACTCGAAACCCAGATCATTATTGGCCAGAGAGTGCTCTCGAGACATTTCGCATGTGGGCAAACAATGGTTTCCCGCGAGACTCGAACTGCCAGCTTACACAACCTTCCGTCCCAGTCATTCCTGAGCCCAATGACCCTCCAATATCTTTCAGAGTGAGGAAAGACATCATGAGCCTGAGCCGTGAGGAACTTGTGATTTACCAGACAAAGCTAGACGACATCCTCGGCGCTCGGGAACTGGGGTCTAAATGGCAGGAATTGGGAGTTCTTCGTGAGTTGAATATCCTAATGAAAGAACAGAACTCAATGAGAAGAAATTAGCTAAACGCATGCTGTAGATGCATACTGGTGTCTTCACTATCAAGAAGCCACGTTTTTTTGGCATCGAGCTTATCTGCGATATGTGGAAGAGTTGATCGACTTCCCTATTCCTTACTGGAATGGATATGCGAAAGAAGCTGCATGTGCAACATCCGAGTTTGCTGGAATTCCTCCAATGTTTCTTGAGCAGACTTATCAACACCCTGAAGGCGAAACCAGACAGAATCCGCTTCGCTTTGCCAAAGCCTTGGACGGAAAGTCAAAAGATGGACCGGGTAATTTTAGTACCGTGACGCGGGATCCAATCTTGACGCAAGGCCCAACAGCTGCTGGTTGGAAAGAGAAGATTGGGCTATTCAAAATCTACCATGAGCAGATATCACATGCCCTGCAGCAATCAAGTTATACAACATCAGAGTCGGCTCAGCACTTCGGAAGACCGTGGGCAAATATCGTTGATTTCAGTGACAAGCAGCCTGACGAAGACTATCCGTTTCGTTTCGATTTTGATGGTCTGTTTGAGCAAGTTCATGATAACTTCCATGGCTGGGTTGGCAACGACATGGTGAGCTATTTGGCCCCTGGTTCATCTGGTCACTATGACTAACACACAGCCAGGCCGACAACACTTATACTGCTTTCGACCCCATCTTCTTATCCTATCACGCCAACATGGATCGACTGGCCGGTGTTTTCATGGACGCAAACCCAGAGAACCAATTTACTTCTCGATTCCCACTGCAGCCTTTTATCAACAATGGGACCAGCATCAGCTATGATGACACGCGCCACTGGCACTATACCACTATTGGTGATATGGCCAAAGACACACGTGCACTAGGCTACATGTATGGGGAGCCTGCAAGCCCTGATTTCTCTGCAGTCAAAACAGCTGAAGAGAAAGGTATTCTTTCTGCTGTATCGAGTGGGGGACAAGCTATTGTCTTGCCGTGTGGTCTGCCAGGCAAGAAGAAAAGTTCCTCCGACACTGACTCTCTCAAAACCTCCGGCACAAAGAAGCTTGTTCCCTATGTTGTCTTTACTGAAGTTGGATGCACTGTCTCCAGCTATAGGATAGACATATTCACTCCAGGAGCCAATCCAACGTGTCCTGATGCTATGGGCAACCATGAGTTTATCGGTCAGATTACACGGCTAGGGATGGGGCGAGGAAGAGAGAGTTCAGGACCGCCGAACAAAGGCCGATGTCGCAAGCCAAGTGCAACTAGAGTTCTCCCCGCTGAGAGTTTTCAGGATCGGCTCTCTCGAGGTGAAAAATTGAGGATCATTGTAACAGATCTAGAGACAGGCAAAGAGGTTGAAGAGGGAGAGTATACGCAAATGTCAGGGTTCGTTCCAAAGCTGGTGTGGCTCCCGGTCAATTGAGCGGAATTGTGGGAGGGAGTCTTGGCTCACTCTTTCCCCATTTCTTTCTCATTCACCAAGTCTTGAGAGCGAGACGAAGACTCTCAAGATCAGCCGAGGCTCACATGAGGGATCGGCGGACACTTGGGCGATGTATTGGCGCAAAGATTGCTCACACCATGACACGGCAGGCCGCATGCATGACGATGGCTAATTACTGGTCGTGAGGACACCGTAACAACCACACGATGCGGGAGGCCAACAAAAATTTCAATAGCAAAGAAAACTTGATTTGGGTATTGTGTGACCTCACGCAGACGTAACTGAATAAAACAATGTTTAATATTGCGGCAAGCCGCCGCAGCTCCCAGCCCGTTTGCTGAGTACCTGTATTGTATAAAGCACCATAGCCCCTTTTACTTCTTCAAATTTGACACACTATCTGCTGTCACGACTAAGAGTCTGGCAATCGCACCGTCACTTGCAATGGCAACGTTAGGTTCTCTCAAGCGCTGTCTGAGGCAGCAGGCCGCAACTCATGGATCAGTAGCACCCCAGCCCTTATCTGATGCACAATACAGCGCCGGCTTTAGTTTCTTCGAACCAGGCTGTAGATGTACGGCATACCGAGACTTCATTCTCCCTCAACTATGTCGGCTCCTGAACCCAATTATCCACTCGCGTTTGGGCATCTCGGTTCTAGAGATTGGACCTGGACCGAGGAGCGTGCTTGGAGACTTGCCCCGTGATGTGAAGCGGAAGATCAAACGATACACCGCTTTTGAGCCAAACGGCCTGTTTGCGTCGAAATTAGAAGAAAGTTTTCTATCAACCGAGGAGGCTGTCTTACCATTTCTTGAGACGGGCCCCGACATCAGGCAGACCCCATTCAATCCTGAAAACTCCCTCAGGTCCCTGAGCGACAACAAGTTTGACGTTGTTCTGTTCTGTCACAGCATGTATGGCATGAACCCAAAAGACGACTACATCTGTGCCGCACTCACCCTTCTCGACGAACATGTAGCAAACGGTAGGGTCATACTTTTCCATAGAGATGGCCCGCTGGGCCTCGCTTGTCTGGTCCCTCATCAAACCGCCAACTTCCCAACGGGCATAGTTCGCGTGGCTGACACCGATGATGCCCTCGACTCTTTCGCCTCGTTCATTGCAGGTTTTGTACCACAGTCCGACAAAGTTCTACAAGAATGGCGGGAAAATTGCCGCACCGTCGGCCGCCGCGACATCGACGACCTCGTCTTCGCTGCGCCTGATGTCATGATGACCTTCTCACGACACTCAACCACGCTGCACGATTTGACTTCACAGCTGCCGCAAATTGGCGAGGTCATGCATGTCAAGAACAGGGAAGCTCGTCTCCATTGTCCTGCCTCTATAGTCAGACCAGGACACATCCAGCAAGTTCAGGAGTGCGTTCGATGGGCTTTGGAGCACCGCATGGCGTTGACAGTCGTGGGTGGTGGACACAGCGGTCATTGCCTCTGGCCTGATATTGTCGCCATTGACATGAGCGCCTTCAATCAGGTCGACGTTGTTACAGGGGAAGCCAGAAGCCTGGTCATTGCCGGTGCCGGTAGTAAGATGGGAGACATCATCCGCGAGACCATGGCAAAGGGGCTCACTGTGCCTTTGGGATCTCGGCCAAGTGTTGGAGCAGGCTTGTGGCTTCAAGGCGGTATCGGGCACCTGTCCAGACTTCACGGGCTCGCTTGTGACGCTATCGTCGGTGCGCTTGTCGTCAGCGTCAACTCGGCAAAGATTCAATGCATCGGACATGTACCTGCGCAACACCAGCCAACTGGTGCCATGCGCCCAGAGAACGAGGAATAACTGCTATGGGCTATGAAAGGAGCGGGAACGAACTTTGGCATCGTCATCAGCGTCATCTTGGCGGCACAGCCAGCCTCAGCGTTCTTGGTCAGGAACTGGGTCATACCGCTGCATGACGGCGATGAGGCGCAACGCAGGCTTGCCGAGTTCGACCGGGATATTGCCAGTCAACTTTCCCGGCACAGTTCTGCTGACGCGTATCTATACTGGGACACTGGAAAACTCCATCTCGGCGTGACCATGTACGAAGCTTCGACTGCTGGGGAAGTGACTAGAACTCCCATGCCTGTTTCTACACCCATGGCCACGATTCTGGGCCCTGAGCACGACATCAAGATCGTGGACAGCGTCGGTCTCTTTGAGACTGAGATGTATATGTCAGGTATGCATGGCGGCCACGCTGGAGGCAAGACATCTTCGTTCAAACGGTGCCTATTCCTCAAGGATATCGGAAGGGCCGTGGTCGCAAACGCGCTAGCATCAGCCGTTCGAACTCGCCCCTCTCCGCTCAGTTACCTTCACCTCCTCCAAGGCGGCGGAGCAATCCACCATGTGCCGGTATCAGCCACCGCCTTTGGCTGCCGTGACTGGGACCTCGCCTGCGTTATCACCGGCGTCTGGCCTCGCGAGGAAGACAAATCTGTTGCTGCCCGGGTGGCTGTGGTGTGGGTCTACGCCGTCGCCAAGACTTTGCTACCGCTTAGTACCGGAGTTTATGGTGCCGACCTTGGACCGGATCCCCGAGATGCAGTACTGGCAGCTAGAGCCTTTGGTTCAAATCGTCCTCGTCTAGCCCGCCTCAAATGTCTCGCAGATCCGCGTTGTGTACTTGCTTACACCTGTCCTCTTCCACCGAAACCAAAGGAACCAGGCCTCATCATCTTGGTTACTGGAAACAGCTGTGTCGGCAAAGACTACTGCGCTGAGATCTGGGCTGATGTCTTCAACCGATGTGGCAAAACGGCGCGGGTTGCCAGCATAAGCGATACCGTGAAGCGGGACTTCGCGGCTGCTGCGGGTGTGGACTTGGACCGATTGCTCAGCGAGCGAGAGTACAAAGAGAAGCACCGGCCGGGCTTGACGGCGTTCTTCCATGACCGATTGCGTGAAACCCCTCATCTGCCAGTGGATAACTTCCTAGATGTTGTTTACGGCGCTGCTAGTGCGGATGTACTGCTCATTACAGGTATGAGGGATGAATCACCGGTCGCAACTTTGGGCCATCTCGTGCCGACTAGCAGACTTATTGAGGTTCGGGTCGCCGCCGGATGTGGTGTCAAACAACTTCGGCAGGGATTCCGCAATGACATAGAAGACTGCGATGGCTCTCGAAGGGAAAATGGCAAGCGGTCAACGCGTGTCAGGAACTACAGGCCCAACTTGTCTTTCCACAACGACATCGCGGGAGGTGACAATGCGAGAGCCTTCGCAGAAATTCGTCTGCTTCCATTCGTACATCAAGACCTGAAACGGCTAGGCGATATGGTGCGTATCATACCAGACTTTCCAAGTCCAGGCATCGACTTCCGCCACATCATCAATATTGCCCAGACACCGGGTGGTCTGGCATTGTGCACCTCACTATTTCAGTCTCACTTCACGGGAACCTGGTCAGATATCGATGCCATTATCAGCTGCGAGGCGGGCGGCTTCATATTTGCGTCAGCATTAGCGTTGCAGGCCGGTCTGCCGTTGGCCCCGATTCGAGAGGCCGGTAAGCTGCCGTCGCCTGTTGTTTCCGTCGCTAAGTCTGTGTCTCACATCTCATCGGGGCTGAACGTACTAGGAGGAAGAAGAGTTGAGATGGATCAAGATGTTATTCGGAGTGCAACGTCAGTTGTGGTTATAGATGACGTGTTCGCGTCTGGGGAAACAGTGTGCGCGGTTTTGGAGCTGCTAAAAAAAGCAGGACTAAAGGCTGAGAGGACCAGTGTGATGACGGTGGCTGAGTTCCCGTGCCATCGTGGCAGGCAAATGTTGCGCAGTCGTGGGTTCGAACGAGTCAGTGTTCAGAGCCTCTTGATTTATGAAGGGCTCTGATGAAATCAGCATTGCAATGAATCCACGTACTACGTCGGCCAAATTTCCATATAAGATTTGAAATCTTTTCGACGTGCAATGGATGGACAAGCAAATAATCCGTTGCCGTTATCCCTGTTCATGCGATGCGACAATGGCTCTGATTGGACCATGCTTGAGTCTTGTCGAAAGTGAACTGGGAGGATAACGTTGTGAGTGAAGTCGTGATTACCACTGCTATCTCGAGCGTGTAGATCGAAATCGTCATACCAGAGAGAATTGATCTTCGACTTGAGTTTGCCCAGGAATCTGCCTCTGAGCACTCGATGGAAGAACCTGCAATGGCTTTTGCAACTTACGACCGAGCTTGACACTACGGCAGTGTCGGATTTGACCAGGCGATTGTGTCATACTGGTCAATGGGTCCATGTCAGGCGCAAAACCGAAATCAGAAAAAAGGCATGAACTATTTGGAATACTACTATAGAAATTAGCGGTAATCAAAGGGCAAACATCAACACAAAACTAATTGGGGATGTTTGTGTTACATTTCGCTCTACTTTTGATGGGATGATTTGAAGTTAAGATTACATAGGCTATGGTAGCGAACTCATGGAAAGCGTGGCCGTATGAAAGACAGGTTGAAGCCACCTGAAATGGTCCTGTCGATAATTTGATACTTTATGAAGTGTCAAGCAACCGTTCGAAGATATATCTTCTGCACCATGACTTACATCTACCAGGTGCCTTACATAAAGCATGATGGGATAATTCATACTTGTTTCATACGACGATCCGCAAGACTTCGCATGGGTAAAGCGTCGCGGGTTCTACATTTTCGTTGACCTCAACTTTTTCAGAAACTCGACATGTCTATTCA